AGCTTGAAAGCCGAATTGTTCCGCCTGCAGAAGGCCGTTGAAAAACACGTACTCTTTGAGCCTGTTTAATAAAAGCCGCTCGTAGAGCTTCCCCAGGCAACTGAGGAGGCTGATAGGACGATAACTAGAGGGCTGATTGGCTGGTTTATTCGGCTTGCGAATGCTGATAACCGTGGCTTCCTTCCAGTCGTCCGGAAAGGAGCAACTGGAGAGTAAAGTGTTGTAAATGGTCGCCAGTAAACAGATAAGCGGATCCCTATTCTCGCTTACGCGGTCCACCTCCGTTAGGTGGGCTGTATCGATGTGTTACAGTGTGGGCTACTGAAGCGCTATTAGGTATAATTAACGGACATTCGAGGGGGTCTGCTTTCAGACTGAGGGCCAACCGCCGGTAGGCGGTGTTCGATGGCCCGATGTCCTCCAGGAGTGTCCGACGTGGTATGTCAGTGTTCCGATACGTGATCTTTGACTTCTAGCTGACGGCGTCGAATCAAAATCGAAAGCGCCGATCAGAATCGAACCGAATCCTACGGTTCGGTTCAATTCTGATCGGTATCGAAAGCGCGTTTGGCTGCATTTTTTTGTCTTATTAGCAGTCACAGGTCGGGCGGAAAGTTAAACCGTCGTTCGCCCAACAATTTCACCGTCCGTTCCGAATCTGCCGCTGCAGAAGTAATGGTTTTTCGGAGACTTGCTTTCGCTCGATTTGCGTTATCGAACGTAGCTATCGTCTCAGGTAGGTCGACTATATCCTAGGGCCTTGAGTTTGACCTCAAGACGATGGCAGTCCACTACGGATTTGGTCGGAAGGACCGCGCCGGCGTTCTGGCCCAGTTTACACAGGACCGGCCTGTGATCTGAATCTTGTTCATCGTCTCTATCGACTAGATGTCGAGCGAGACCTCCTTGATTAACATAATATATAGGATGCTCGGTGTCGCGTGCTGTTAATAGTCCACCGTAGGATACCTAGTGGGAGGCGCAGGAGCGATTATGCTAAAGTTTAAGTTAGGTTCGGTTAAGCTAAAGAGTTGCTTACCATTATTATTTGCGGTATTGTGAATGTCCCATGAGCCGTGTGTGCAGTTTAGATCGCCTGCAATTATCACGGAAAGGCCTAAAATGAGTAGGGTTTCTAGATCGCTTTGTAATAAAGATTTGTCCCCCGAGAGGTAGGCTGAGACTTGTACAAACGGCCTATGGCCGGTGAGCCCTAACCTGCACGTGGATGTCTTTATATGGCTTAGCTTTGGAAAATTGAGCGGGTTACAGTGCAGGGACCGTTTATAATAAATTAAAGTGCCTTCCAGACGGGTTGCTAATCGGTTGTGGCGGATTATATTTAGTTGATAAAAACACAATTTTAATGTTTATATTTATTAGAATTGCGACCTACATATTTTCCTCCACAAGTATTGACATATTGTTATTCGTTTTCGTCAGCTAATTTAATATAATTAAATACATGTTGATTAAATGTAGATGAATATTTATACATGAATACCTACATATTTTCCTCCACAAGTATTGACATATTGATATTCTATTTAAAATTATTCGTTTTCGTCAGCTAATTAAAAACATTTATAGATAAACATAGTTAGTTGTTGCCTCAATTAAATTTTATGCATATTTTTGTTAAAGTTTCTGCCAATTACTTAATCCTACTACAAATATTCTACTTATTTTTTATATAGTATCATTGCCATAACACCACTACTTAAAAGTGTCATAGTCATAGCTAACATATAAATAAAGATTTTATTAATAAATGTTCAGATTGAAATCTTAAAAAATTACATACATTTTTATACATCTTTTCCTTTAATTGCTTCGATTCCTAATTATTAAATCATCTTAAAATCATAAAGAACCTACGGGAGGTTCTTTTATTCGTTTATAAGGTGACTGATATGATTTCAAGACTAAATTAAAACGACTTAATGGTTGGCTAAATAGAGACTGTTCCTAATCATGCATGTAAACAGTTTTTATTACTCCAATTTATTTGTTTTTTTGTTTTCTTTGTTTTTTTCTTTTTTTAAAAAACACTGCCCTTACTTTATACATATTATCCTGTGTTGTAAAGGACGTTTTATAAACATAAATTTCACGCGGACAAACACCCAGATGCGAAACAACTATCTGTGGGTCACACAAATAGTTGTCCCGTGTGGGAATCAAGCCCACGACCTCCGACGCCGAAGCCAATAACTTGGCAACTGCGCCACGGAGTCATCGACTCGGCACTTATTTGAGACTAGGCACTTATTTCTAGATAATTGGGTAACAATAAACCACTACCGAATGTGATGAAATGTGGCATTTTTTATATATGGTAAACATAATTACATAAAGATAATTATTTAAGCTAAATTACTTAATTTCCGATTTAATACACGAATTCATATTTAAATGACACATTCTTCATACATTTTTTTAGTTTTGTTTGGCGAGTTTTTATTACTAGCTGTTACAATTTGCAAATAGGTAAACTAGAGCTCTATCCACCTTGTTGGTATGAGGTGTTGTTTTAATGATATAATTGCTGATGATATACATGAAGTTTATGATTTAAATGACACATTTGAGATATAATATTTTATTTTTATGTACTCAGTTTAACTGAACAAATATACATTTGTAACTACTTGACTAGGTAGCACTTGACCGCTTTATCACTAATACATTTACCATAGACAACAAACATATAGTACGAGATAGATATTAATAATTTTAATTTCATAATTATTAACTGAACATGCGTTCCGTTAACTAAGTATTTATTTTCAAAAAGGTAACTAAGTAACATCAGACAACAATCTACTACTTGTTTATAAATATGGTGTCGTAGTCATTTGGTACGCGACCTCGGGTCCTCGAGCCACCACTTTCACACCTAGTCCGTGAGAGTTGTGTCCCTTATCCTGCCTACCATATCCTTCTGTTTTTTCCCTATCCTCCCAAATCTACTTCTTATCCTGGTTTTAACCCCAAAGTGGGGTTTTGGAGGTCAGATGGCAATCACTCCATGTAAAACCAATTACAGCTGTTTCAAATGGTTACGAAAGAGAAAAGACTGGCTATGGCTAGGGCGTCGCCGCTAAACGACGCGCAGGCATATCGCCCTAAACTTGCGATAAGTGGGATAGGGTTACCGTGTCAATTACGGGAACGGTTAAAGACGTTAGTACCCAGAAGGAAACTCCACTTTGCCTCATGGAATATTGGCTTTCTAACCGGACGATGCAGGGAACTTGCAGATGTACTTATGCGACGTCGGTTCCAGTGTGCGTTGCTTCAGGAAACTCGCTGAAAGGCTAATAAGTCCCGTAACATCGGACAGTGATACCAGCTTATATACACTGGATCTCATTCGGGAAAAAACGGTGTGGCGATAGTACTCTCTGAAGTGTTTCGAAATGGTCTCCTTAAAGTTGAATGTCGTAGCGATAGGTTCATGCGGGTAAATGTACTGATTGAGGGTATTACCACCAAGCTTGTTAGTGCCTATGCCCCCCAGGTTGGCTGTAGCGAGACTGAAAAGGAGGCCGTCTGGGAGCAGTTTGAAGAGGTATTACGCTCTGTACCGACTACCGAACTGATAGTCGTTGATGGGGATCTAAACGGTCAAGTAGCTGACGTCAGCTGAGACATATGAACGTGTCCACGGTGGTTTTGGTTATGGTCGTCGCAATGCAGAGGGAGATAACATTATGAGAACCTGTATTGCGTGTGATCTGGCCGTCGTGAATATGTTCTTCCAAAAGAAAGATCAGCACCTTATTAGGTATAAGAGTGGGTCCCACTCAACTCAAATTGACTATCTGCTGACCAGACGATGTCATATTGGCGAGGTGACTAACTGTAAAGTCATTCCTAGCGAAAGCCTGACGGCCCAACATCGTCTCCTTGTCATGAACTTTTTATTTCCCTCGAACTAAGAATTAAGTGGTGGTTGCTGAATGGACCGATGCATAGACTTCCTGGCAGAGTTTGAAAATCATAAGCTATTGACTAATGCTGAAACTGCCCAGGAGGCTTGGGATCGAGCCCAGACGGCAATTATCGCGGCGGGGAGGCGAATTCTCGGCGTTTCTAAGGCAGGTTGCGTCATCGACAAGGAGACGTGGTGGTGGAATGATAACGTTCAGAGAGTAATACGGAAAAAGAAGGCGGCGTTTAGGGAGTGGCAACAAACCAACACTCCTGGAGACAAAGTGCAGTACATAGCAGCCAAACGTGCCAGGAAAAGAGCAGTGAAAGCTAATCACTAATGTACGATAAGCTAGAAACTGCGGAGGGGCAAAAGTTCATATACAAACTGGCACGTGCCCGGGATAAAGCGACGCAAGATGTCACGAAATGTTTTTGCGTCTTGCGATATAGCGCTCATTGACGACAGCCGGCTGGAACTGGAGCGCTTGAGAACGGCGGTCTAAAACTCAATGTGACGAAGACCGAGTACATGGCTTGTGGGAGTTCGGACTCTAGCACGATCCAAATAGGTTCTGAACCAGCCGTTAAGTCGGAATCATTCATGTACCTTGGATCTGTTTTGCACGAGTCCGGAAGCATTGACCATGACGTCCAAGCCCGGATTCGCGCTGCTTGGGCTAAGTGGCGAGGTGCGACAGGGGCGGTCTGCGACTACAGAATACCGCCCAAGCTCAAAGGTCAGGTGTGAAGCTCAAGAGCATCATCCGACCGGTACTTCTGTATGGTAGCGAGTGCTGGCCATCTCTATCTCGGCACACTCAAGAGCTTCACGTCACGGAGATGAAGATGCTTAGGTGGATGTGTGGCGTCACGCGGGGTGACCGCATACGTAACATATCGAGGCAGTCCTGGGGTCCGTGACGTAGCGGATAAGCTCCAAGAGCGGCGCCAGAGATGATATGGCCATGTCGCACGCACCTACTAATTACACATTTTGTTCATTATATATATACAAATAGATCTTGATGTTCGAGTATGTTTTAATCGGCGCTTTTTAATTACGCGCCCATAAGTTTTTTGACGGTATATCCTGGAAAAGAGTATACGAACAGCAGGAACATTACGGCGAGGAATATTATAGCAGAAGTGTTGATAATGGTCCACTTGTAATTGTGCCAGGCAATGTAGCGGATAGATTTCAATGGGTTAAGAAACCACATGAAGGATGCATCGGGGCGTCTGAAAACATATAATATATGTTTATTTTTGGTTATGGCCACAGAATACGATCAAAAACGACTATTATGAAATAAAACAATGTATCTCTTGCAACTAAATTAAGTGATTACAGCTCTTCATGAACTTTGTAGGTGCAATGGCAATCTTTAAAAGAGTTCCCGGTTACCTCACCTATCGGATGCAATGCAAAACTACAAAACTACATAAGTTATGTTGTGTAGAAGTAAACTTTATGTAATAAAACTTACTTGGGTTTATCCAAGGGATCCGGCTCATTTCGTCCAAGACCAGCTGGTACCTTGTCAGCGTCCTCGCGTGTTAGTAAATGTATTTCTGCTTCAACTTTCCCTGTCAATTCCATTTCCTCATTATCCCGTTTGATATAGAAGGGCCACCAGCCTTTCACACGTTTTTGCTTAAATATATTGACCATAGGAACCGTGCCATCATTGCGGAGCATTGCCAGAGTGCATAACTTAGATGATTTTGCGCCACGCGGGAATCTAGTCAGATCCAGTGTAATAGCCCCTGATGATAAAAATGTTGTTTTTTAGCACTTAGTATTTAAATATGTTAATCATTCTTCAAGAAGAATTAGACGTATTTATTACCCAAAAAATCGTCTGCAGAGAAATGATCAGCGTCCCAGACTTGGAGTTCTAAGCGAGCTGGTATTTTGCATTCGGTCTCGTCCCATGAGAATACCGACTCTTTACGCGATATAACAATCCGTTCTTCAGCTTCCAAATATTCAAACGTAAATATGAAACGCCAGTTAAAGTTACCTTCTCCTGTTAGGGATCGGTAATGGATATCCGTGGACTGACAGTCATCGGGCCCTTTAAGCCACCTGTAAAAAGAATACGACAAGCAATCGTAATGAGAAAAATATACAACCTTTTCACGTTCAAACAAGTTAATACCCTTCATACCTTTGTTAAAAATTGTAAATATATAATTATTATACATATATATATTTAGTTGACATACCCCTTGATATATATATCAGACATCTTTTCCCCAGTAAAGAAAGCATCATCCTCCAAAACAACATCCTCAGTATTCCAGATAATTACTCGCAATTCGTAAGATTTGGGTTTACGAGCTGCAATGTCCAATTGTGGTCCAGGACGTGGCATATCCATGGGGAACATATCAACCCACATTTGCAAGCGCCCTTGTTCGATTCCTTTAGTAAAATGATTTAAATATTACAATTTTCTATTTTCAATTATTATTCAGGGATAAAAAATATATATTTCTATATATTTCTATTTATTTAAAAATGTAGTATCAGAAAGTATAAGAAATTAGTTGCGGCAATGACCTCGGCCAGTCAACAATTTCTAGCCTAGTAAAAAAATAATTATGATAAGCCAAAAAATTAAAAACAGGAATGTTACCCGGTTTGTTGGGATTATACAGAGATCTGGTTTCAACATGCTCCGGAACCAAACGGGTACCGACCCGCGGTACTTCTTGCCAGCGGTGAAGAACCGATAGCGCCATTTGTTCTTCCAACGTATTAGGGTTCGAGAATAGTTCTGTGTCATCCATTGGCAAATTGAAGATAGTACGCCCAATCTTGACCCTTCCGTACTCGTAAATAGGAGGGTTAAGCTTTCCGTCCTTGCAAAGCTTAGCTAAGATTTGTGTCGGTTTCAAAGAGTCGCGCCACCGATTGTAACCTTGTCTAATAAGATCAGGTTTAACAAATTTCAGTGAGATATATAATAACAGAAACGTTGAAAATTTTTTAGATTAAGAGACAATTAAAATGAAGAATTAGAAGCAAAAACAAAATTTAGGTAGATAATAAAAGTATTAGTGAAAAATATTAATAATGTTTATGTATTAGTTTAGTAACAGATTCTAATCCCCGTTTAATAAAATTAATGTTTTTTGTCAGAAAGCAAAATAAGTTTGCGTGGCATTCAATCATTATTATTTTCAGTCAGTTTCTTCTATTATGGGCAACTGCTAGGGAAAAACGTGATGAACCAATTTGCTAATAATAATGCAGTGTAATAAAATTACATTATGGTTCAACGTCAACCTTAATTATTTAACGTTCTAATTAAAAGGATGTCAAGCGTGCGTCAGATTCATGATTTTTTAAATTTTGATCGAGGCGAACAGTAGTTTATATTATTTGTCGTAACGTTGTTGAATTCATTCAGGGATTTTTGATTCAATATAAAATTAAAGAATGTTTTGATAAAATCCATTGAAATTATATAACAAAAGTATAAAAGAACAATAAGTTGTGTTGTAATAACTAGTAGTTTATTCATATTAAAATAACAAGTTGGAAAGGTTCTGAAAAATGTCATCATCTCGATTTTTAAGACGTTATTGTAGAACAATTGCAGTAATTTGATGACTATCTTTCTGTAAAAGTAAAGTAAAAATAAATAAAGTTCATAACTTACTCTTCGTACTTATAAGCTAGGCCGCATGTTGCTCTGTGGCGGCTATAAAATCGATTTTCGAGATCTATCTTAGTTTCACCGATCAAATCATCTGCTCCAACTAGGTCCCAGTCAAGAACTTGAATGGTAAGCATGGAGTCTTGTGGGAAAGTAGCTTCAATTTCATAACATTTCCCAAAGACTGGGTTTAGTTGTTTTGAAACATAATTTTCTTTATCGCATATTCTTTTCGATCCCAAATGCAACATGATGTACGGATCGGCCTTTCCGTTAAAATCCATTGGATGCAGATCTGTGGCTTTCACTATGTACACCCGTACCAGTACATGGATGGGATCATTACTTGGAATTCCTTTGAAAAATCCATGATTTGAATCGAATCCCATCGCTGTATGATCATCACTTCCTTTTGGCAGAGGCCATTTATATACCTTTAAGGAACCCTTCAATCAGAAAAAACATCATTAAATTAATTATTAAAAAAACATGCTAAGATTGAAACTAAGCCAATGAATGTAGTTTTACCCTCGCAATTCAGAGACCTTGGAAAAAAAATATTCAAATATAGCGTTCGATAAAAAAATTGTGATAAATAATCACCTTAAAAGTACCGACGATCCGATTTTCATCTTCAGTGTCATCACCGGTCTTTTTTCCTCTGTACAAAGCAAATGTGTGCAACCATTCCTTAAATTCCTCAAAATCCAAAACTGCTTCCAGTTCATGGGGGTAAATCTAAAAGAGAAGTAAAATTTTGTAATTTACGGCATATTTACACATATTTTGAGGAAACATTATTATCAATTTTTATAATTGTGCTAAGTGATATTTATCAAAATTTTACCTTTGCCAAGGCACATTTTGGTATTGAGTTTTTTTTTGAAGTTGTTTGGTTAAATTTTGTTCGGGAAGGGGGCATAGATTGTTGACGTTTGATCTTATCTTTAGACGTCGACGGTAAATTGATTTCATCTTCAACATATACATAGTCATTGACATTAGGTGATTGGGTGATTGGTGGACAGGCAGTACGATCTCTTTTTGTATCTGTTCCGTCATCCGCCATTGTCACACGGAAGCGAAATATTTAGTCCACCAATCTCTGTTTCCTTCGTCATTAGCCGATAATGAGTCAGCACTGATTTTACGTTTTTTATTCGTTTCACATTTGTTCATTTGCTTGCGTTTTGCACCTGAGCCGTAAGATGGAGTATGACTTGGTAGAAGAGAACAGCTCTCCTTTTCGTTTTCAATTGTGAAAATATCATTTTGAATTGTGCAGTTGTTTCGTAACTCAATATTTTGTAGTTTTATTACAGAGTTTTTTCGCTGATCTATCTCTTTTTCGCGCTTGGTCATTGGGGTATACATATATTTGTGTATAGAGTTGATGGTATGTGTACCCACTAATGTAGCTCTTCCGAAGCTACGACAGTCAACAACTCGGATTGTTAATGGTGGTCGGTATAAATCTTGATCTGGAAGTTCTATATCTACGTACTTCACGGGATTGCTAAAGTTGGGATTGCGCTTAGCGTTTGATATCACTGTAGAATATATGATATTACCTGCACACTCTATATCAACTCTTGGTCTATCTACGCTTAGCATATGAATGCGTTTTAAGCTCCTTATTCCCCAAAAAAGCACTTCAATGCGATACTTTGAGAGGGTTGGACGTATACCTTTGGGAACTGGCAAAATGGGACCTTTGTTCATGTCCATGGGTGGTTTTCCAATTGGCTCCCTTGGAGTTGGAAGCTCTGGTAATACGCTTTGACTTTGCTTAGGTGGAATCTCAAGTAGTTCAAATGTGGCCAACAGTTCACCAGCCGTATCATCACCTCGTGTAATTTCATGCCATTCCAAAGACGGTGGGAACTGTGGTCTTTCATAGCTATCTTCAAAGGCTTTAATTGCAGGTCTTGCTAAAGTTCTTCCTATGAACTCTGATTTACCAACTTTATCTTGGTCGAATATTTCTATAACAATTGTTGGAGGATCTAATTTAATCTGTTCAATAGTGCTGTATAGTAAAATGTCATTGAAGACAAGTAACTCATCCCATGTCGGGCTCAGAGTTTCGTCAATAACTTGAGTGCTAGCAGTGCTGTCACCAATTATCGCTGTGGCGAATGGATCAGACAAACCAGATGAGTCAGAACCGATCAAGGATCTGGCTTGATAAATATATGCTCGCATTTGAAAGTTCTGAAAAAGAAATAAACCTCTTAAATATTTCCCTTTTTTGATTTTAGGACTATTTACTTATACAAACTGTAACTTACATGTTTTTCAGCATAATAAATAATATTAGGGGCATTCGATCGGGATTTGTCTGCGTTTCGAAGTTCGGAGCTAACTTCATAGCCTTCAGGTAAACCATCAATATAATGCCGTTTGTCTTTTAAAGCACCTAGCCAAAGGTATACTCTGATCATGGCGGGAATGGCCCATCCGCTAGGTTTTGCCGCTTTTTTTCCAGGCCACTAAAATGGAAATGAATATTTGAGCATTTGACAAATTGATGATGACGGCATTTGACTTTAAATAATACTTTGAAAAACTAAAAGATATGATTTAATAGATAACTGAACTTAAAAGTAGAAAATAATTTTCAATAAATTCAACCTATGAATAGTGTGATTAAAAAATAATTTGTAGAAAAATGCGGGGTACTTGGAGTCTGGAGCTTTAAACATTTTTTTAATGCGTACTTGGCACAAGAACACTACCGGGTATCGGATTTGGGAATTAGCTAATCTTGAAGTTCCTGATCTAGATAATGTGAAAACTGTTTAAATTATTTCATTATTCAATTTCATTTCATGGTTCTTTGACGAGTGTGCAAATTTTGATTCAAATCTGATCGTTTAAAGAGGGGAAAATCACGTTTAAAGATTCTGATACGAGTGAAACTAATATAAACGTTTTAAAAAATGTTTTCTTTCACTTGTATTGCTACGTACCTTCATGAACAACGTTTGCATTTTTCCACAGAATCTACCACGTTCTTGAGAATTGTCAGAATATATTATATCTCTGGCTGGAATTCGGTAATACGCTAAACGCTTTCCATTGCTGATCATCCAGATAAATATATCTGGCATTGCTTGTTGCGACTATAAAATATAACAAAAATCGTAAGTATCAATAAATGTATAAATATCATATCGACGTCAAGTTCTAGTTCGTAATTAATATTAATTACTTACGTCCTCACACAAATGTTTAAGTTTTTTCAAGTAACTAAAGGCTGTACGCAGACGGCCTTTAATAGAATTCCTTGTAATTAGTGCACGGAGATTTTTTGTGGCTTGGCTTATTTGATTCTATGGAAAATTAAAAAATTATGAAATAATAGTTAAAGATCCAACTTGTAAGCCTACGTTTTTCTTTAATATACTTTCAAAAACTTACAATTTCGTATAGACACATTTTCTGCCTTTCGCGATCTAATTTGGTATTACCCAGAAGTTGAGCATTAGTCATGTGTCGTACATAAGCTGCGCAGGCATTGCTCACAGATTCCAATGTGGATTTTAATGCAGCAATGGTAGTGTTATCTGGTTCGCTATTGGCCTCGACCGCCAACTGAGCATCTGTTAATCCTTCTTCCTGTTTGGTAAAATAAATAAACTTAATACCAAAATTTTTATGCTTTTTGCAAGAGCTCACTATGGCCAGACCTTCGCCAATAATGAAAGCTGAAAATTTCTCTCATATGGCAGCAACACCAGTAGGAACCTTCAGGAACTGCGAAGTTTGGAACATTGTGGCGTTGGCAGATAAAGGTATTAGAAATCACACTACTGAAGAAAAATTTTTCCAAGGTATCATCATCATTTCACCCTTTTTGAGTCCACTGTTCAACATAGATCTCCCCCACAGACCGCCACGAAATACGATCCTGCACCACCTGCATCCCGATGGATGCAATGGATGGTGCGCGAAGTTCATACTTCCCACACATTTGCACAGATCATCATTCCATGTAGGCGGGGGGGTTGGGGGGGGGGGGGGGGTTTGTCCTACCCTAAAATTGTCAATACGGGGCTGCCATTCGGAACCTTTATTCCTCATCGTTTTTCGGTTCTTCGAGTTATATGGCCGTGCCAATGCCACTTCAGCTTATTTAGTCTCGGAGCTATGTCGGTTACCTTTGTTCTATTGTGGATGTCTCCATTGCGAACTCTATTATACAGAGAAATACCAAGCATAGTACGCTCCATAGCGCGCTGAGCGACTTTGGGCTTCCTCATACGGCCAACAGTGAAGGACCAAATCTCAGTTCCATAGGTCATCATTGGCAATGCAAATTGATTGAAGACTTTGGTCTTCAAATATTGAGGGATATATCGAAGTTTCTCGAGCGCTGCCCATTCGAGTTGAATTCGCTGATTGACCTCTGCGTCAAAGTTGGACTCACGTAACCGAACTAACTGTCCTTGATAAAAATTATCGTCAGCAACTTCGTACAACATATATAAAATTTGGCTATTATTATGTAAAGCAAAGAGAATTCAAATTCATGGTATTTTATGGTTGGCTGCCAGGTTACTGTTCCGCAATGATTGACATGATTTCCTATATCATCCAGATGAGAATATAAAAAAATGATGCTTAAAAAAAATTAAATAGAAAAAAAAATAATAAGCATAATTTAGAACACAGCACAGGGAATCTTTTAAATTTTTTAAAAAATAACAAAGGTCTGATCATATCGAGCCCTTGGGCTACCTTTGATTCCATTATTTACACCGTACTTTATTTTTGACGTGCTTTGCTGAAAATTTCATTTAAGTTTCGATTAAAACTATTATACATGTGCTACATTTTCCTGCTTGATAATAAGTAAGAAATAAAAGAAAATGGTGAAAGCTCATATAATTACCAAATAAACAATAATATTATAAGATATTATTAAAGCAAGTCAAAAGAACTTACAAATTTTTCGATGATATTTGCTATTTGATTGGAGTTAAACATGCGCCTGCGGTGGTCAGGCCAAATGCTGCGCACATGCATGCACTGTTTGTGGTCCCAATACGGCAAGTAGTAATAGGTTTTGTCCGTAGAAATAGCTTTTGTTGGTTGGGTTACACTTTGCCAGTAACCAGTATCAGCATTGAGATTATCTGAAAATGTATAAATAAAATCATATAAAAATATTATCTAATACTCACTAGGCAGAGTTAAATTGTTATGAAACCAATGATGAATCAATTATTAAACTCTTGAATCCTACTAAGTTGCTCCACATCCAAATCGTGCGGTCTCTTCACTGGTTCATTAGGACCGTCGAGTACATTTCCTGCATTGCCGATGCTTAGTTCAAATTGTAGTGGTTTATCCACAAGCCGTTTGTCAATCATGTTTGCATCAAAGATACTTCCAAACAGGAAGAATTCTTCATGTTTCTCATATAAGGCCTCATTAAGAGGTACCACTGGATCAATCTCTACCTCTGATGATGTAGGGCAATCTACGTTATCTAGTATCTCAGTGCGAATTTCTATGAGAAGTCTGTAAAAACATAAATAAATTTGATAAGACTTTGCTTGTGGATTGGTCATACAACTTACTTTTATGAAAATGCTTACCTTGCCCTGTATGACACACCTTCACCCATACCCATATTTAAGTTGGAATGTTGATCTATTAGACTGTAATCCCGAGTGGATCCATACAAGTATACATATGCTGGGCCAAATGTTGGAAGAAATCCTAGAAATAATATATTTGCAGAATATTTAAATTAATTACATTTTTTTACAGATTTAGATAATTGAATTAAATAAATTTTTTATAACCTATATTAGAGATTTGGTAACATCGGATCTTTTAATATATTTAAAATAAAATACATACATTTTGTTACTATGTTCTGCAGTGGATTCAAAGATGAGATAATGATGAAGTATATTTTGCTAATCGGTCGGCATACTAATAGATCGACGCCTACGACCATATACGTAGTGAAAACGTATGAAATTCAAAAGCAAAGTTTATAAATATTTTATACCAATCTTCATTAATTTACACTAGTGGACGTCAAGTGGTCGAAATTCGACCATAATTAATTTAAATTATAAATTTGAAAAAATATTGATCGATTCTCAAATGACTACACAATAAACAAAAGAGTATATATGCGTGTGTGTGTCAAATACATGGTAGTGTGATGTGTAATGTTTTGCATATTGATTTAATGTATTTTTAAGCATAATAAAAAAATAGCATACTCCTTTTCAATATAAATTATAAGTGGGGGAAAATTTCACACTCCTCCATCAGCGCAATTAATTTAACAATTATTTTAATAATTATTAATTTAACAATTAATTTTCGTAAAAAGGTGTACAAAGTTTTTGCTTCTCGTATTAATAATAGATATTAATTTCAGGCTTAAAATGCATAAAAATTTGCGATATTATTTAATACAGTACCTCTTTCTCCATCATTTGAAATTGATTTCAAATCAATAAAGTGTGTGCCAATGACATTTGGATGTACAGGATCATCATCCCTGAGTTGTATTTTGACACGTTGACACAGCGGTGGGAACATCTCCGAGAATGTTATTTGCTCATTCCACTCTGGCGTGCAGCAGTTCTTCTTTATCGAGGTACATCCCTGTAAATAAATGCGGCTGTTAATGTATCATGAAAATTAAAAGTTTTGGTTATAATTTGGGGTATAAAATATTGAAGACATAATTTTACAACAATACTCTTACCACAATTAAAATTTTGTCTGCAACATTAAGTAACGTTTCATTACATAATACTTACAGTCATGCCAGCAAAGCTAACTTGCACGTAAGGGTCTACCAAATCTTGAGTTTCGCCGGTAAAAGCCCTCTTTACATTTGCTAGTATTGAGTAGTTCATTTTGGGGAGACCATCTGCTTTATAAATCTTCATAATGAACTTGGCTCGTTGGCGTTCAATCGGGACTCCGTCAGGCAAAAGCAGGTTGCTGGTTGGTAAACATATTATGACAATTATCTTACAAGAATCTATAAAAACCTAACAGATTCGCCAAAGGGCAAATTGGAATTAATTTGAATTAAAAACAAACAAAAAGCTTACTTTCTAGTACGTTTAATTTACATTTATTCGTTTACCATAACCCAATAAAATTTACATTTTAAACAATATTTATTCTGAATACATAGGTCTCACTAAAAGTTTCCAGAACTTGCCACGTACATAAACAATATTTAAAAAGTAATTAAAACATTTCAATTGTTTTTAAATTGTGCCATTTTAGAAATTGCGCATCAACAATAACTTTTTTTTATGTGAAAAGTTGCCAAACAAGCAGACGGTTCACCTGATGGTAAGTGAATACCGCCGCCCATGGATATCCGCTACACCCGCACCCGCAGATACGTTGACAAACTTTTGAAAATTGGGCTCCGGCTACCTCACTCACCAGACGAAACGCGAAAGTATTATACTTCCACTTTACGCCGATCTTCTGTGACGTCGTGGTACTTACCCGGACGAGCCTGCACATTCGTGCAACAGCCAAGGATGCTGCGTGGCCCTACCACCTTAAACATGGATTTAGCTCAGGTAAATTTTTGTAGTATAATATTCTACATCTAATATTTTCGGTGACAAATGAAACTTAACATAAAACAAATATAATGTTAATTATGCGCTGTGTTTTTTTATATATAGTATTGTTACGAACACACAAAGAAACTAGCGCTATCTAGCGTCAACCAGTAAAACCACTCAACGAACAAAGACAACATAAAACCCCTACTCAATACTAGATGGCGTTAGAGGAACTACTGTGGAACTATAGTCTCGAAAACCGGGTACGTTCGCGAACTTTCCAGAATCACGATCATGTTCGCGCGTGTCGGGTACGTTCCAGGAAGGAACTTTCTGGTTTAGTCTGGGACAATCCGTAGTGGAATTGTAATATCTGCACATTGGCTCGCCACGACTAGTGTCCAAGAGCCCTCGCTGTGGTCTACGGGCTCTGACCATAGGCTGCGCCAGAAGGCCACAGTGTCCGCCTGGTCCGGTCCATGGCCCGTTCCACAACTCATTGTTCGCTCCAAAGATTTGTAGAGCCTCTTTTGGTTACTCTGGAAGAGGCGATTCTGGCTAAACCGTCGTCCTCTCGGCATATCTCCGAATCCGCTTCCCCCAAGCAGCGATCCTCTGCTTCAGGTCATCTATGCGCTCCATTAGTTTTTGCGTAATATCCGGCTGGGACAAGTTGATGTTTGTCCCAGCGAACGCCATCCTAACGGTGCGCACAATTCTGGGTCTATTATTGCCCGACCTGAAGCATATCAGCCTGCCGATGCCTCAATTCTTCTTATCCATGCTGGGATAGTGCTACCTGGTCTGGTAGCACGTCCAGCCTTGGGAAGTTTGGCGCCAACGATTCGCCATACTGCCAGTGCAGCGCCAAAGAGAATTGAGTCTGTATCGCAAAGATCCCGGCTAGCTTCCAAATAGGTTGCCAGCATGGGGTTAAGAGACCTCACAACAGAGCGACTACACTTACTCAGGGGTATGCGTGGGAGACGTGGCCGATTCTCGAGGCATTTCGCGCACCTCCAGAATTGCCTCCTCCAATATGCTTCCCATCTGGTCTATTTACATCGCATGCATACATCGCATAAATCTACAGGAGCCGGGGGGTTAAACGCAGCCTCCGCATCCGCTTGTAACGCTGCGGGATCCGCAACTTGCGAAGTTGCATCCCCAGCTACTGCATTTTCATCCGATGAGGGAACAGCCTCACGTCGAAGTCGTTCGAGTTCGGCATCATCAAATGTTTTCGAACGCATGATGTACCGAACTCGGTCTGCTAGGTTTTGCTCGGTAACGGTTATAGACGGCTCCAACTCAGCAAAAAAGGGCTGCATCCTTGCCCGATATGCAAACTCTCCAGTTTCACTCCCTTTCGCCCTAAGATACGCCCGCATTGCGTTCTTGTTCATCTCAGTCGTCCTGCCCAATGCTGAATCCGAGAGGATCCTGCCGCCACCAAGCCAACTGGTGGGGATGATGGATGCGAGGTACTGCTTGGTGGTCGTGTAGTACGCCGCGCTCGGCTGGCGTCCCGCATGCTGCCACGTCCAGCACCAGCTCCAGACGCGCCCTGGCGGCCCCCAGACACCGGCCCTATGCGCTTTATTTGAGAGTCCATCATCCATTATTGTTTAGGGCTTCGTTTAACCGTTAACTTTAGGGCTTCTCAATAGTGTGGCCATACGCACAGACGGGCCTATGCACCCTAACTTTTGCCGAGGCACGGTGCAGACACCTCTTGGCAAGGCGCTGACTGATTGCGCCGACGCAACAGTTCTGTCACTTGAACTGTTACGCCGGTGGGCGATGGGGTCGTCACTTCCCTACGCCATTAATATTATATTATTTTTGTTATTCGTTTTGGATGAGTAAGTGGATCACACTGAAAGTTCTTTGAGAATCATATATCGGCTGAATGCAGAATGTTGCCAATACTTTCAGCAGCCAATACTTTCGACACAAGCAAGCAGTGCGCCTATTCTTTCATAGGGCTCGCTTCTACGACATTAGATAAGTGGCATTTGAATATGCTGAAAACTTAAAACACAATTTTAATCAGTTTTTGAAAATGGCTGGACCAGACTGATAGTTGTCTTTTAACTGATCGTAGATCGCGCCTTACGAAGTATCATCCTCATTGTGGAAGACATTTAATAATGTTTCACCTATTTATGATTTACGGCTCCTAGTATTTATCCAATAAACCCCGACGTTTTTTCTGAAGAAGCCAGCTGAATTGATTTAATCGGAGACTACTGCCATTCAAAACTATGATGAATCAGATGCTATTGATGACCCAGTACCAGATCAAGGAGACTCTTTAATAACTTGCACATCAATCCATGTTGGTTCACCACCGCCATTACCACCAACTTCTAGCGTAGTTGATCGTCCAGCCCCTGGCTCATCCGTGGAAATATTTTCACCATCACTTGGTGCAGTATATTCACCAGTCTCTGGCACATCGACATGAGTTTTAACTGTGGTAGGGCCACGCAGCAGTCGCGGCTATTGCACGAGTGTGCAGGCTGGACCGGATAAGTACCACGACCTCACAGAAGACCGGCGTAAAGTGGAACTGTGATAAATACTTTTGCTTTTCGTCTGGTGAGTGAGGTAGCTGGAGGCCAATTTACAAAAGGTTGTCAACGCATCTGTAACCCTCGGGTCTAACAGATGTCGATGGGCGGCGGCATTCACTATCAGGTGACCGCCTGCTCGATTGTCAACTTTTCACGTAAAAAAAGTAAATCCTAGTAATAGTTCGTAAGAAGCAGCGTTCATCAATGTTAACATCTACACTATTAAAAGAAATCCTGATAGAAAAAGAAAATAAAAAATAAAAGACCAGCCAAGGATAAGAAACAAGGAAAAAATACAACTAAGGATAAAGGTCCAGGAAAGAAAGTGGTAAAGAAAGGGCCTGAAAGGACACATTTAAATACGGAAATAAATATTAATCAATTTAAAATATTTTAATTAAATAATGATTAATGAAATAGAAGAATAATTTTATCCATTTTTCAAGAAATTTATTCATTATACACGAAGCGGCAAAAAACCAATGAGTTCATCATAAAGTATTTATAACAGGAACTAGGTACATGCAACCAGTCTAATAAAATAAGACAATCAAACATGGCACTTAGTTATACCTTAACTTTTAATAATTAGTATGGAAACAAAATCATTAATAATACCGTCCGTGAATAGCTTATGTTTATAATTATCCACTAACAATCCCCACTTATGTTTATAATTATGACATTATAGCGAATCAAAGCCACTCGGGGTCCATATAATTATTTGGTCACTTACGCTTCAATATCGTCTTCATCTCTCTCGCTCGTCAGCGGAATTTGCACTGTGTCACCTTTACCGATCACACTTATATCGCACTTGAGATAGCCTTTTAGACCGGCAGTCACGTCGTCCGGGTCTATTAAAGTTGCCCATTTGTGGTAGAATTGTCGTCCTGTCAACAAACAATGAAAAACACAATTAGACAGTGCAATAATATAAATAATATGGCAACAGTTTGTAGGATTTCTCTAGTAGATTTCTAAAATACAGCTATTTACTTATACAATTATTTTAAAAAAAATTGTGCATTTCTAGCAGTAATTAATGTGAATAATTCATTCTCGCCTTGGTTTTTATTATAACAAGAGAAAGGTGACGATATTTATGTGATAGTTTCGGAAGCCATATGGTATGATGAAATTTTAATGAACGAATCTAATGATTTAATCTTTCCATAAGACTTTTAAATTGAAGATTTTTGAAATTGCTTGGTATTCGGCATTAATAAACAAATAGTTTATCGGTATTCCCGACTCTTACTTGCCGAACCCACAGGCTAGTTCTTGAAATCACTAGAAAGCCAATAAATAAATTCAAACCACTATGAAATCACTAACATTCTCTAAATTTCAAGATGGAAATAAGACTTAACATAAGATTTATCGTAAAGCGTCTGGACGCGAATATAGATCACGTCATCTATATTCGCGTCCAGACGCTTTACGACTTTACTTCGTCAATCTTAGGCAGTGGCGGAAAATTTTTCATCCTTTTTCGATATAAGTAGCAGATATAAACACTTCAGAAGTTTTAATAACACTAGAATTTAAATTAAAGCATTTATTCACCGTATCATTTATTAATATCAAAGCATATTATATAGGTATGTTATATATGTTAATACAGTAAAGAGTAAATAATATACGTAATGAGTAAAGAGTGAATAAATAAAAGTGCTTTGTTAAAGTTTTAAAAGAGTTTAAATAATAATTAGGATAACAACAGTTACATTTAATTTTAATTTTAGTAACTGTTAGGTTTGTTAATTTGAGTGTAAGATAGTTGAGGAGTACAAAAGCAGGGTATGGAACGGTTTTTACTAGTGTTTTAAGGTAAGATCTTTCGGATGGTATGAACACTGCTGCAATATTCGCTAGCGAATACAAACTTTCGTATTTCTAAAATAATTTATCACGTCAATCTTTTCATCTATTATATTTATAATTGTATGTTTTTGTCCGACAGGTAAACGTCATTTCACTCGGCGTAATATTGAGACAGAGTTTTCGATGTTTCGCCGGTCCCTACGTACATAAACATATGTCAAAATTGATTTTTATTGCATATCAGCTTTAGTTTTTCTATACAGGGAGGCTATTCCAAGTGTATCCATTTTTTATTAAATTGTAGACAAATAATGTTATATAAAAATTATAAATATTTAATTATAACGTAATTAATTAAATACATTCATTTGAACTTATCTCAAAAGGTGCGTGATTTATGGGCAACTCAATTATTTTACGCGCGATTATTCATAACTAACACGCACACAAGTTCGTTTCAAAAGTAAGTATGCTACGCATTTATGAATGACTAGCGCATTGTCAACAAGTTCTGTTTTATAGGGAATGCGATAGCAATTTTTTTTTTGAAAAAAGAAAAGTTTGTTTTTATTTCAATAAACGATTATACTATCGAGTCTGAATTTGGGCACCTTTAGAAAAGCCACCCTGTATTCACATACCCAAATATTTATTTCTAAAATATTGTGTATTTTACATCATTTACAAATCGAATATAACAAGTATTATAATTACAACGAATAATGTACCGTTTGATGCCACCTTGATGCTTGTTCGCGTGGTGAAATAATTAATGTTTTGATACATTTTATATTTAGTTGTTATCATTGGTGGAAATTGAAAACTCCAGAATTAATGTTTTATGTGTTTCTGAAGCACAACTTATATTATTTTAGACACTGTTTTCTTCCATCCTGCGTATAATGAGGTATTATAGACATATCAAAGATGCTAATTTACCGGAATAGGGCGTACAATATTTTTGGTATGTTAAAGTTATTTTTCATTTGTTTTATATTTTAAGTATTTATTTGGGTTATTTTGCTTTACTGAATTATTTATAAGTATTTTTATTTAATTTCTTTTATTTTTTGTTAATTTTAGTTTTTCTTTCTATTTTATTGTGTGCGTCCTTTTTTTGATAAAGAAATGTATTTTCTTTCTTTCTTCTTTCTTTTTTTAAAATAAGCGTAGAAGTAGTCACATATTTTTTTTTTCAAGAAACAGTTTTTTCAAGAAAATATAAATATCATTATAAAGTTCTTAAAGCTAATAAAACACTATTAAAAGAAAGTGTTTATTAATTGTGCATTAAATTTTACTTGAAGAACGCTCTCCTGTAAACCTCGGTTTTTGACATGTCTCTAAGTAACGTAGGGACCGTCAGTTCAGGTGATGAAATAAAGCGTATGGAATAAATATCAAATATGACCCTAATGAGGTAAACTGAATGAATACAAAAAGTACAACGGCATCAAAAGCGTAATAGGTATCGAAAAAAAGTATTACACAGGAAGGCTTTTCTAAGTATATCCGCTTTTTTATTAAATTCTGGACATAAATAATATTATATAAAAAATGATAAATATTTTAAATCACTCGTAAGTAATTAATTTCATTCATTTGAAGTTATTTCAAAAAGTGCGTGATTTATACGCAACTCATTTATTTTACACGCGATCATTCATAACTATCACGCACCCCAGTTCGTTTGTGTACGTGAATAGTATAATTGAGGTGAGGACTACGTGAGGACTATCACGATGGCAACAAGTTCTGATTTTTAGGGAATAGAATGGAAATATTTATGAAAAAAAAGGTTTGTTTTTATTTCAAAAAACGATTATACTACCGAGTCCGAACCTCTTGTGTAAATTTGGGCACGTTTAAAAAAGCCATTCTGTATATAAGTTTCGGTTCTATTTCATTTTGTAAGTAAGCTTGACGATGTGCATCGAGCGAAATGTGTTTCGTTACAACATAACACAAACTTTATGCTTTAAAATATTGTGTACATAGTAATATTTTAAATTATGTAAATAATTAAATTAGCATAAGTTTATAATTTAAAATATAAAGTGAATTAAATGTTTTGTTAGAAAGCTTCATTTATCGATATATTAATACATAAAACAAAAACTTTGTACCCATTTTTTTACGAAAATTGCGCTGACGGAGGAGTATGAATTTATTAATATAATTAAATTAATAAAAAAACAGTACACACACTACCATGTACTTATGTACTTATGTTTAATTGATTATGGTCCTCAACCTTGTTTCTTCATGAATTTCGTCCACTAATTTCGACCATAAATTCGCAATAAGTATTAATCTATCCGAGTTTAATTAGATGTTTTCCAAACTCACGGAACATTATTCATGTCGTTCCCGTAACGATGAGTGTTGTAAGTTACAAAACCGAGCCCTAGTTTGTTTTTTGGATTCTTCCAAAAAGCTAACTTTAATTTCGACGACCCAGAAAAGCAGCCAGGCATTATGGTTCTAAAGTTATTATACACTATGTACCCCGGCTCTAGAAATGATTTCCACTAACGTGAATACTACTTACTAAATAAAACTTAAAATTAATCTAAATATGTGGGATTCGAATAACCGACATTATTTGAAAATTTAAAGAAAAAATTGTGTAAGAATTAACTCATTTACGTGACACGTACAACAATAGCGAAATTATAAAATAGAAATATTATGTTTGTACAAAAACAGTGCATATACATTTGCGGGCTAGGTCTTAACCTTCAAACCCCACATAACGTTATTAAGTCTTAATCATTAAAAAAGTGTATGTATGTGTACTTATGTACCCAAGTAAGTTATACTTCTTTGGCGTTGCAAAAGAGAAATAGCTAAAAGTTTTAACTCCTGTGCCAGTACTGCCAGTACTCTTTCTTTGTGAAAAATGCATTGATAACGGTTATAACTAGGAATTAAATTTAAATTTAAAAAGGTTGTTATTGGGTAATATGGTGAAGTTAGTTTTAATATTATGTTGTTTTTACTTTTTAACTCTCATATGTTTATCCAAACTCGCGCAAAAGAAGTATTACTTCAAAATAAATGTAATATGTGATTACAAAATAAGTGTAATGCATCAAAATCTGCTGTGTATAAATGAGAATGATTCGCAAGTCTATACAGTTTTCAACGCTACTTGTAATAATCTAGTAAATTTTACACTATTTGAAGCAAAACCATGTATACTTATACAGTTAGACGGGTTGTCGCAGTCAATCCGCCCACACGTTCTGGAACTGCGCGAAGGTAACAATAAAAGTGCAGGGACTCACATTTACTGAACGGATAAAACATATAATAAAATATATACTTATAATAGTCCAAAATAACATTTACTGGCATGCGGTTAGTTCTTTTAACAAGAGGTAAAAAGAGTAGAGTGTCCAAAAATGAATGTTGTTAGAGAAATATATTGATAGACAACGTGACAAGTGATTAGGTAAATATGTATATGGAGCATAATAGGCATACCTATGAAAATGTCATGTGAATAATTTGCTAGTATAATAACTAGCAAATTATAGCTTACTATTAGTAGCTTTAACATTACCTATATATAATGTAAGCAAAGAATGTAAAATGCATTCAATTTAACAAAATAAGTAATTCAAAAATAAATTGACTTCAAATGGATAAAAAAACTATGAGGTTTTGTCACCTTCATTACAAGTCGCCTTTGATGTTCCTATTACTCGTTAATTATGTTAAGAACATAACACCGTTTACAGAGTTTCAGTTAAAAATACGATGCTGTAGACAGTAACCCTTTATTACCATAAAATGGTAAGTTTCTGTATAAACTGATAATAGAAAAGAAATGTGAGGTAACTTTGTTTACAGGAAGTTAACTGTGTTTAAAGGAAGCCTTCTAGATAATAAATTTCCAAAGCTTACAAAGCCTTGCAACAATCAGACTATATTTTCAAAGACTAGTTGTTTTACTGAAAGCAAATATTTCACCTTAAGAAAAAAGAGACTGCGTAAAATGAAAATTGAATTAACGTATTTATTTGATTCTAGCACAAATTAGCTAAAACAAGCTATTTAAATTAGACAATTAACCGACCGATTGAGAAACTAAGCTTATTCTAACTTTTATATCATATGTTATTCTTTTCGAAAAATCAACTTGTCTTGGTTGTCAGAAAAAAAATCCTTTATCGGTCTGCGACATTGAATTTCAATACTTGATACCAAAAAAGTCTCATCTATTGTTGTGCTTTCTTCATAAGTGTTAACCTCCCCTCACTCATGCTGCTCTGTAGCCTTTTTAACTTTTCGCTCGTAATAAAAAAAAACATAAATTATAATAAAATGAAATAACTTTTCAAATCAATAAAAATAGCCATGTATGTTTATATTCTTTAAAATCTTTTTAATAAATATTGTGGCAAGATTTCAAACATTTAAAAATACAACAAAATTAAAAAGTTTTTATTTTCATTTCCATTATTTTGTAACACATACATATATTTCATTATCGTGGGGGTAAATGTAGCTGTCCAAGTAAGTTGTATCGAAAAGGGTCTTAATTTAGAAATCTTAAACTGTATAAAATATGTTTTCAGTGTGTTAGATTGTCTTCTATTCATAGCTGAAATCATAATCGAATCGTACAGTTCATTTCATCAATGATTAGTTAAACCTCCTTGAACATTTAAAACAAAAGAAAATGAGTATTTGTATTGCAATATTCGCAAATAATATAATGGATCATGTTTTCTAAATTAAACACTTACCTACTGAGGATAGAAAAACTTTAGTGTTTTTCGTTCTGCAGTAGGTAGGTATTTAATTTTTTATTTCTTTTCAATAATGCTGTTTCTATGAAATGAGAGGGGAAAAAGGTACCTATGCACCCTCAAGTCGGATTCATGCCTTCTAAATCAAATGATTTGTTCACCGACATAAGAAATATAAATTTCATCTATCAGTAGTATTTTTTTTTAAATCTATCACCGTTTCGTTATGATTAATAAAAAATATAAAAAGATAAATTAAAGCTTTGAATAAGCTAGCTTTGCTCATTTATTCGTCGTAGAAACTTATACATTGTGTATACGTTTCTACGACTACATGAACGATTTACTTACTCTATGGAGCCTAGGAACTGGTAGAGTTCTGATAGATGAAGTTATCATTTAAGTGTGGGCGATACTTTTCCTTTGATAGCAAAGTATAAACTTAATTTGATGGAGGAAAGGAGGTTATAATTTAAAGTTCACATTTGAACAAATGTGTCGTTAAATAAACTAGTTACCCTATTTCCTATCCGAAGAAAATAATTATTGCGTGTAGTATGTACCTGGCTGGTTCCACACCGTGGCCACGTCGACTTTAAAGCTGCCGAGCAGTTTGTTCGCGCGAAGAATATTGCGCGATTGGAGGACCTGCGAACAGGGATCATGTTACATGTGTCATGCAAGCAAGTGAGCTCGTGGGTGCACATAAGTGGTAATGGACACGCGCGTTTCAACACGCTAATGTTGCCTGAAATTTAAATATAGGTATGCGCTACCCTGAGAGGGAAAGATTTACAAAGTCGGGAACATTTTCTAAGACCTAATTACGTTTCATTAGTGCCTCTGTAATGTTAGGAAGAAAATGGGGAAATAAAGGTAGGTGTACACGTGTGTATTGTTATGCCTCCATATTTCATATACTTGCACACATATGCACTAGGGTAACACATTTATTTTTGGTCAGTTGTTGCACGATCATTGAGTGATATTTCTATACGCTTTCATAAGACTAATTATTAGCGTTTTTTTCAATATATGTAAGAGAATAAGATTTTAGTCCCAAGTACTCTGAGTCCAACTTTGTTAATAGCTTTTTGCTTGCCAATGTAATACTCGGTAATACCGAGTGTCTCCCGCTCTTCTTCACGACGAATATAATTCTAGAATTCTAATTATATGTATTTAAGCTGTAAGCTGAAGATGTGTAAGGAATATTTCATAGATACTGTTTTATCATTAGGTTTTGATGACATTTTTTAATTACACCAGTTATTTTTATTTTAAAGGCTTTGAACTAAAATATATAAGTTATTTGTACCTGAAATATCAATGACATAATGATAAAAATTTATCAGGATTGCTAAATCTGATGTAAAGATTATTGCAGAGACAACGGTTGTAAACTGATATTATTGCCGGATAGAAAACGAGTCACAAGCTTTGATGACAAAACTTATAACAAACATATTATGTGTTTAGTGTCGAGAAAATTATATTTCTTAGTAATATCTAATAATACTTCGATAAACAGTCTACAATTATTTAAAAACTAGTACAATTAGGCGATGGTGATTGTATTTACATAATGTTAAAAACGGTAAAAAGTGATGTAGTTCCTTAAATAATAGGTTGGGGAAAAAAGTTTGTTCGCATTTTATATGAAAATTCAAAACATTATTTAATAAAGTTTATTTACATTTATGTAACAAAAGTTTGTAGGTGCCATTTTGTTCGATTACTTTCTGCCATCTTGTAGGTAGGGACATGATCCCATTGCTATAGAAATTCTGGGGCTTGTGATCAAAAAACCGCGACTAGTGGTTTTAGCAGTCCTCTCGTGATGTAAACTTGACACTGCCTAAAGAATTCTGAAAAGACCGAAACAAGTAGAAATCTGAAGGGCAAGGTCAGGACTATACTGCGGATGCATTAACAACTCCCAGTCCAGAGAGGCTAAAGATGTGTGAAGTCTAGCGTTATCATGATGCAAAACCGCACCCCTTCTGTTGATTAATTTCGGCCGCTTTCTTTCAACTTCTTGCTTGCTTTAATCTCATCAGTTGTTCGCGGTAGAGTTCAGAATCAATGGTCCTGCATGGCAGTAACAGCTCATAATGAATAATCTCCTTCCATTCCCACCACAGGCACAGCATTCCCTTGTTGCAGGATAACGAGGGTTTTGCCAGAATCTGTGAAGCCTGACCAGCCTTTGACCACGACCTTTTTCACACGTTCTTGTCGTACGTGATCCACTTTTCATCACCAGTTATCAGGTTTTTCAAAAATGGTTCGGTTTTATGACGTCGAGATAAAGTATCACAAATGAGTACACGGTTCATTAGGTTTCTTTCAGTGATCTCATGAGGCACCCAACTATCAAACTTTTTTGTGTACCTATTACGCCAAAACTGTTTTGTAGTCAATTCCTAGTTCTGCAGCTACATCGTAATTACGAGTACTTTCTTAATAATGGCATCCATTTTATCCGTTACAGGGCGTCCAGCGCGAGGTGCATCTTTGACATCAAAATTTCCGGATTGAAAACGCTTAAACCAAATTTGTGCTACTCTCACAGACACTCCATAAATATCACACATTTTTTTCGCAGCTTGCGTTGCATTATTACCTTTTTGGTAGTAAAATTTTAAAATGTATCGAATTTCTTTATTAGTAGCGGACACCGGGGTTGGAAGTCACATTTTTGGATTTTGAATTTTTAAGTGCCCATATTCTGGGCAAATCAATGAAATTTATATCTCAATGGATAGTATATCTAATCTAGTTTCAAAATAAATTCATACTTTGTGACATTAACATTATCCACTGTGTAAATATTCCATTTTTAAGAAAAAGAAAATGTGTGATTTCTAACCCCATGTCAGGGATGACGGTCACAGTGCCTGGGGTGGATATTCACTCTATATACCAAGGGAGGAAAATATAAAAAAATCACTTATTTAAATCAAATTAGTATTTTTGTTTCAAATTGAATCTTGAACTGGTATCCAAGAAAAGAATGCAAAATATCTTATTAATTATAACAAGAATAGTCAACAAATTCACTTATACATAACTTTCATTTAAGAAAATTATAATTTATGATTACATTTTTGTTGTTTTCGTAAACAACAAAAATGTAATCATAAACAGTCACCGATTTATTTGGACATTATACTTTTAAATAAAAGTGCGAACGATATAATATGAAGTCAATCCAAGTCAAGTAAATCTGATCACAATTTTGGCAAATGTAATAAGTTTTTCCAGGTGTGCATGCATGCCTCATGAGCCCAAAACTTCTCCTGGTACATCCTGGTACTGCATCCAGACTCCCTTAGACTAGCTAGCAGAATATTATATAATAATATATAATATAATAGATATAATATAATAAATATAATATAATAAATATAACATAATATGGAGATAAACAGACACTTTTCCATCTTCGTCATTGTCAACTTCTTTCAATTTAATGTTCTTTCTTTTAGTCTTTCGTTTTCTTCTCTTCTAAATAGGTATTCTCAAGCGAATTTGTCAGAATTGCCCATTTATTATTATTATTCCTTTTATCAGCTCGCTGTGGCTTGGGCGGAGGAGTTTTTACACCATAGTCACCCCAATTTCATCCATGTTCCATATTTCAAATTTTTCAAAAAAAACTGTTGACATTTTGTGGATTAAAACTTGTGGCTCGAGCCAAACTAGTGGATTCAGGTCTTCTAATGGACGGAGAAAGATGTCTTCATAAACGACCTAAACCAATCGGAGCCAGCTAGCTTGTTTGATTCCCAAGAATATGGAACTTTCAACTTATTGAAGACAGCAAGCTCGTACGTTATTATGTAGCAAAATTCAAAAAAGCCAATAAAAAACCAGCAGACACGCATGGGGTTGGTTGTCACATGCGACTACCAGCCCTCGTTAAGCTGAGACAACCTACCCCAAAAACATATTTTAAAAATCAACCCTAAAAATAATTCTAAATCGGTGTATATTTAATAATTTCTTGTATTTACGCGATTACACATTATAAATGAAACTAATTTTACGGATTTATCGCGTTTATTTTTAATTTTAATTCCTGACGTTTCGAACCCTTTACAGCGTTCATGGTCACGGGACAGACTGAGGTGTTAGACGTCTGATTGTCATAGTTAACCCGGGCTACCGTCAGTTTTTGAATTATTAATTTTGTGTCCGATCTATGCAGAGGGAGCTAATTGTATCTTGTCTTGCAGTAGTGGTTCGTTTGGGCCTAGATTTAATTTTATTGATGACAGGATCCCAAGCTGATGGTAGTACCCAACCTTCTTCTCTATTGAAATTAGGGTGTTTTTTAATTTCAATAGCCTCGCGAATCATCCTTGGGAGGAATCGGTGTTCTTTTGCAAGGATCTGTGGTTTGTCAAACCTGATGTAGTGGTTGGGTCTATTCAAAATGTGCTCACAAACTGCAGACTTGTTTAATCTATTGTGTTTGATGTCAGCTATATGTTCTTTCACGCGGGTTTTTATTGCTCTTTTCGTTTGACCTATGTAAGAGAGCCCACATTCACAGTCAAGTTTGTACACTCCTGTACTACACTCGGTGTATATTTACAAAACTTTATGAAAATATCATGGTCCATATATTTAACTTAACTAATACATGAAAAGGTATTAAAGGTATAACAATGCAAAATTTTGGCATACTTACAAGAATCAACACAGATGCACAAAAAATTACTTTCAGTGTGAAAAAAAAAACAAACGCACGTTTCTCCGCCACGGCGTTTCGGAGCGAACCAAAGTTAAGTGGGGAGGGAGGTGATGCCTTTGCGATTCTTTGACACCGATCAACTTTCGTCTTCGTTTGTTAACTTTTCTGTTATGACCACTGTGACAACCAACCCGTGAGACAACCATACCCGGTCTCACCTACTCATTTTAACAGTAAGATAAACAAATGAAAATCACACAATTTTCTAATTTGAATTTGGAATTATGTTTTTTTAAATTTTAACTTTTTAATGATACCAAAATCAGCCAGCTAGAAATAGTATAGCCAAATAGATTATATTATAAGTTCAAACATACTATTTGCGAAAAGAGTTTTTCCCCAACGTAATAATAATAATAAAGCCTTTTTATTTCCCATCACCTAAGTATTACATGTAAGTATATATATATATATATATATAAATATATATATATATATATATTTATATTATATAAATATATTATAAATATATTATATATATTATATAAATATATATATATATATATATCACTTGTGACTATTCTCTTGACTATTATTTTTTTTTTTAATTTTGCATTTTCCTTAGATAGGAACCCCTGTTTGGGTATAGGCCTCCTCCAGTTTTATCCAGCTTTCCCTATCTCTCGCTTCCTTAATCCACTCCTTGCTGGCTATAGCTATGATGTCGTTACTCCATCGCCTCATAGGTCGTCCTATCCGTCTTTTTCCATTAGGCCCTTTCCATCTTCTACTGTCCATCGCTTATAGTTGTAACGTGCAACATGACCAGCCCATCGCGATTTTAAACAAAGACAGTAGTGCAGGACATCTGTTAGTTTTGTTTTCTTTTGTATAGATTCACTTCTTATTTTTTGTATTTTCCTTATTTTTAGAAGAGTTCTCTCCATTGCTCTCTGACAACTTACTAATTTTGTTTTTGTTTTAGCGTTGTAGATCCTAGTCTGAAATCCATACGTGAGAGTTTGCGTGGAGTTTTAAGGTGGATCGGATAACAATTTCTTAATTTCTTTCAGGGACCAGTATTTTTTCCAGCTCATATTTATTCCGCGTTCTACGTCTTCTTCTTCGTTTCTACCAACCTAATATATTAAATTTATTCATAAAATGATAATATGTTGTATTTGATTTATTTATACGTATAAGATCTGCACACAATTTAATTTTAACTAGTAATGGAAAGGCTGAAACAATCCAAAAATTGATTGGAATGTAGTTGTTGACACCCCAACGGTTGACGAACAGGTAGCCTTATTTAATTCTCTCATAATTCACATCTATGAAATTCATGCTCCTGTTCCTCCTATGCGCGTTCTAAACCATCCTTCCTCTCCCCTCCATGGCTCACTGTTGACATCAAACAATTTATTGAGAAAAATAACAAGGTCAAATAAAAATAGTGACATGAATAAAGAAAAATATAGGCTGGTAAGAAATCGTTTCAACAATGTGCGTAGGAAAGCACAACAATGACATATTTATAAGTCAGTCCAAGACCCTGACCCTGCTAGTGTCTGGAAATTTCTTAAATACTTAGGAGTTGGGCAATCACGCCATGACATTTCTGCTCATGATACTGATCTTGATCAGCTTAATCATCATCTGGAGTTCTAGGTTGGCCACTAAAATCGACTGGTCTACTTTACCCCAATCATCCTCAACGATACTTACATCCCGTACAGCAAAAAGGAAGAAGAAACTGGTAATGTTTTTTGACGCCAGTCAGTCTGACATGGATACCACAGATAAATGAGACTAGGAAGAAAATGTTCTTTGCTATAGATTCTTTACGAAGACTGCTTAAATTTCTTCCCACTGCTACGAAAGTTGCGCTCGCTTATTCAATACTTCTGCCCATCCTCGACTATGTAGATATTTGCTATCTTGACCTTACCGAAGTACAGCTTAATAAACTTGAGCGGATTCAAAATTTGTGCTTTCAATTCATATTTGGGCTTCGTAAATACGATCATGTTTCCGATTTTCGTACACAGCTCAAGTGGCTGCCAATCTGTCTTCGCAGGAATACTGTACCATATTCTCTCTACTTTGTACAGCGTATTGTTTAATCCCTCTACACCTAAATATTTAAGAGATCGCTTCCGGTCGGTCCCTTCGTTCTTCTGTCAATCTCTTTCTCTTCTTTTAAACAATTTTTAAGTGTTAGTTTAAAAATTTACAGTGACAGCTGTGCGTTTGTAGAATTCTTTGCCCAATCACATTTGATAAGCTTAGTCTCTTCTTTCTTTTAAAAACCTATTAAAAGCTCATTACTCGGAACTTTGAACTCGTGCTTTCCTTTTCCCTTTTCCTATTTTCCCGATATCTATGACTATCTCATTGGTATATAAATGCCTTCATCCGGTATTTATAAGTGACTAGCGACCCTCCTCGGCTTCGCACGGTTGCAATGTATTATATATATACGAACCTTCCTCTTGAATCACTCTATTTAGTAAAAAAAAAACGCATCAAGATCCGTTGCGTTGTTTTAAAGCATACATAGGGACAGAGACAGCGGGACGATTTTGTTTTATACTGTGTAGTGATGCACAGCAAAGAGACGTTTACATTTCAAGTGACATTTTACCACATTCACTCACTTGTTTTGCCTTCCCGGAACCCCTCCGCTAACACTTAAACTTTATGGTATGGTATTAAAGTTCAAATTGACTTTTAATTATTACTACGAATCTTTTGTAGGGGAATATAGAAGTGTTGTTTTTAGACTTTTTCAGGCAATTTTTTTAATATTTTTTCTTTCATAAGAACCTTCTCCTGATAATAACAAACACTACAAAAAAAAAGTGAAATCGGTCCAGCCATTCACGCGTGACCAAGGGAAATAGGGATTCATTTTTATATATACGGATTTATGTACACCTGCTCTCGTCTTTATGTCTCATTGGCAAAAATTCTTTTCGCAATTGTTGTCTGAAAGAAATCGCTTTCTGAGCGATAAGACCGCCTATTGTACTTCTTTTTACTTTCATTTGTAATTTGCTTTGTATAAATGTATTTTTTGGTGTACAACAAAGTTTGAATAAATAAATAAATATATATAATAAGCCCACAAATAATCAATTATCTTACACACAAAAATTAAACATAGTGTAGGTTCATGTCATAGATTCACCTCTTATCAAGTGATTATCGCCGCACATGGACGTCTATAATACCCCTTGCGTCGCAGATATGTTTCCAATGATTAAATGAGTGAGTCCTGTCATTTCACTCACCAGATAAAACAAGATGTTTAGGTACTTCCCTAGACGAGCTTTCCATTCGAGTAGTAGTATAGAAAACCATCAAAATAAGTCACATAATGCCTATACTGATATAACAAATTTATTCCGGATTGTTTAGCTCACGATGTGATGTAAGGTGCTCACGAGTGAATAAAATATGAAACAGGATTTATAAAAGGTTCTAAATGAGAAAAGAAATATCTCGCATAAGCGCAGCCGTGTCTGTATATTTATTGTGTTATGACACTGACAGAATCCCTAATGCTAAGTGGAACCAGAAAATAGAAGCCATGGGGCTGAATGGAGTTATGGATATTGAATGTAAATAAGGCAATTTAACATTTAATTTGGACGTGTCTGTACAGTCAGTATTTGAAAAAACACATTAAAATAATTACTATTAAATATATTACTTGGGCTACAATCGACGTTTTTTGTAAAATTTTATTTTTCAGAGAAGATGCTTATACATAAGAATCTCGTACTTACTTACATAATTATGAGTATTCGATCGACAGCGTGTCTAAATCGTAGTGTAGTGAATTGAATACAAATTTATAGATATATTTACTTCGACACTTTATTCTAAGTAAGCTTTGCCGAAATGAAAGTATTCTTTTCGACCCGAAAAAACTTAAAAGAGAACATTTGACATTTATTTTTAAAATAGATATTATTACGTAATGTAGGCTACTCGAAGTTCTTGTGGATCAACATATCATCGCTATAAAATCATTTTCGATATAAAATAGAACATAACTATACAGCGCATAAACTTTTGATCTCATAGTGTTATTTTGTTACATATTTACTTCTCGTTCGCTCTGTAATCGAACGGATTTAGAGACATATAAAATTAACACCTGGTTTCCATTGGCGTATCCAGGGATATTTTAGGGTGGGCCTGGACCTATCTTCAATAAAATCGAACACTATCTATCGTCAATCATTTTTATTAGTTTATCTCCCTCATCTGCTAAGTGCGAATCGTTATCAAAAATTCAAAAAAATATAATGTCCATTATTTTTAAATGTTTTCTATATTTTATACAACTTTTTCATAGATTAAACAATATATTCAGAAATTATACGTGGCAGTTGTTCGCTTTACAGATGCTTAAAAACTAATTACTTACCGACACTGTGATGAGCTGGTCTAACAGCATTATAGGCGGCATATGCAAATCGAACACGAAATACTGCGGGCAAAAGAAAAGATAATTAATGTGAACACATGAAGGTAATAGTAAGGGCGTTAAAATTATTTGAAAGTTCATTTATGAAACAGTCCTTACAGAAAGAATAACACGAAAAGAAACTTTATCCGTCCTAAGAAGTTCTATTATAACAATATTATGCTCTTTAGTGGGTATTAAATGAGACTAAGGCGTAGCGCTTGGCAATATATCACTCATTCTGATAACGGGGGCACGATTCGACTGAGAGAATACCGAGATGCGGACTGTGTTCGGGCCACTTGAATGGGCAGGTCCGTCAGGGGAAGTACCACGACCTCATAGAAGACCGTCGTGAAAAGGCATTGTAATACTTTTGTTTTTCGTCTGGTGACATTATTCACTGTTTTATTAGCTGGGGCCCACTTAATAAAAGGTGGCAGCGAATCTGCATCTGGGTTTCCAGGTATCATTAAAAATCGGTTGAAACGAAAGCTCGCTTAGTTATACACGTATAATATTATACATGTGTGCTGATTTTGTTTTTATTAGAATAATTAGTTAATAATACGATAATAATTAGCTGTAATAAATAATTAGCACTGTAATTTTAGCGTTGAACATTTACGATAAATTTATTATCGTAAATGTTCTTAAGAAAAATTTTTTTAACTTTATGAGCTTGGGATAAACACTAATTTAAATTATAGTTGTCAAAGCAAATAGCTGTCATTATCAATGGCCATGAGCTTACCTCGTTGTAATATGGGCAGTTGGTGCTTTCTTTGACACTAGTGTATTTGCGCACGTCACCGACTTGAACACAAACTACGGGGTCCATGTTTAGACCGGCCAATTGACGGGCCTCGATGATCGTGACACACACTTGAAAATCGGCGGCCTTTAAGGCCGTAGGCCCAGCGGTGTCAATAGCACTGCGCCTATGAAGAAGTGCATCGTTTCACATCTTCCTTTTCTCGAAAATTATGAAATGTAATAACCAATTATTTATATTGATTATACACGTTATTAAAAAGATATATTCTGAAAAAATGAGGAAAAATTAGAACAGAATAGCTAATCAGCAAAGCAATGCAGCTAACGTTCTAAGCACTGTGCGGCATTTATGATTTTTGATGTTATTATAATTGGTATGAAATCAATAAAAAATGTTAAACCCAAAATATTTTAAGTCTAAACCTTAAATATGGCTTCTTACTAGATTATTTATTGATTACTAGGGAATGTAAAAAAGTAATACTATTAAGAGTAAATCTTTTTTTACAATAAGAAAGAGGCAATATAAAAAATCTTACTACTTAAAAACGAAAGCAATAGCAAGTTGTAAAAGCAAAGCAATGCAATATTTTGTCATTAATATATTATGTATAAGGCATAAAATGAGCCAAATTTAAAATATTATTAAACCATGTAGAAAAAGTACGAAAAGATTGCCGCCGCTCTGGGAATCGAACACACGTCTTCGGCACTCGCAGCCTGACGCTATAGCCTCTGAGCTAAACGGCTGATAGCCACAGCGACGAAGAATCTTAACGCCTTCTTTCTACATTGTTATTTAGCATTTGAAGCAATGCTTGGCGCATCTATTGTTATATCCTTTCCAGCATACAAACATTTTTACAGCATACATACTTTTCGTAATTTTTCTACATGTATTAATAAGTTCAATCGTAAGTGCAGAGATTAGCACTATAAAAAACTTTAAAATTTCTAAATATTATATCAGTATTTACAATATTTTAGAATTGGTTCGGGCATTTCGAAAAACAGACTTTAAAACTTTACCTCTATAAAATATTATGATATTAAGATCTTAAAAAAATCTTTCTCACAAAAATAACCAGTCACATAAAAAAATCGCAATATTTCCTAAAACTGTTTGAATCGATCGCTTGTATAAATAGCAGATTCGCAAGCAGAAAATTAATGCTTATTATAAATTTGGGAACCGGGTTCATTGGTATATTTTAAAATAATAAAGTATCGAAATTAAAAAAAGTAAGTGTGTACGTTTCTATGCGCGTAAAAAGTTATACTTTTTCTATGTTTACCGAAAAGACATTAAATTCAATGATAAAGGATTTATATAACCTGGAATTATTCGTAAATGTAAAAAAGTTCGTATTTGAATACTTTTTTACGTTTAAATACTTTTTGAAGCTCCATTTTTCCAAACGCGTCAAAAGCATTATGTCTTAACATGAAAATAGCAAAATTCTAAATTTGGACAAAGTGCGGGCACTAGTCAAGGTTATATTACTTCGCTAACGATTTACACGAAAATGAAGCATGCCGGTCCATTATTTGTTACGGGTGCAAATCCGTTTCAATGCACGATAATGCGCGACCAAACAGTGTGCAATACGTTTACGTACTTTCTTCTATGTACTGATTAATATATATCTTTAAGACATTACAATTTCACGAACCAATTAGAGATATATGGAACTTTTACAGTTTTCTAGCGGCGCGTTATTTTTGCGGTCCAGTGTATTTTACTCACAATTTCTTTTTCTTGGGTGTATCAATGGGTGAATTTGTGACGACGCACATCTCGTCGGATGACAGCGATGTTCCGCTTGTAGCTAGATCGTGTTCAGTAGAAGGCCCCGGCGCATCGAGGAGGCCTTGTTCTTCGTCGTAATTGCTAAAGGTGCCATGGCTGCGGCCGATGCGCATAAACGACTTCATGGTTCTGTAGATAGGTACACATTATCGCTCTTTCTCGTCAATAGTGACAACTTTATCGACACCTACAGATAATCCACGTCCTGTAAACAGGGACGGATTTAGGGGCCCGGGGGGCCTCGGGGCTACAAAGGAGTGGGGGCCACTTTGCCCTTATTATTTTCCAAATGAAATTAACTATTTTTTCAGTCGAGTTTTCCAATACATAATTGATTGTGAAATCAAGTATATATTCTGTTATTATTTAATGAACGTATAAATATAATCGAAAAAAAGGTAAAGCGCGAACAATTATATGAAAGGTAAAGTTGTTTATTAGTGTTTACTAGTTTGAATTTGAATTTTTTTTCCATAGTTTATGTGGGGGCCTCTCTTTTGTGTAGGTCCCCGGGCTGTAGCCCCTTTGCCCTCCACTAAATCCGGCCCTGCCAGTAAAGTTAAATCATAAGCATGTGTATACATACATATTGTTACGTGTTAGGGTTCGAAGGATTTGGAGAGAAAGACCTGCTGACCCTTTTGAAGACTTTATTTATTAGCACTAAGTCCAACACAAAGCACTAGGTCCAAACACTAAGCACTAACGATGTCCTAGGTTGTAGCCAAGTCGTAGGTTTCACTGGTATCGCTCTTGATCACTAGTTTTCACTCCGAAGTCGCCTCGAAGATAGCTCAAACTGAACTGAACTGGCTCGCCTCTCTTTTTATATGGGTCGAGACGAACCCCAGACTATTCCAGAAAGTTCCCTCCTGGAACGTACTGGTATCTGGAACGTTTTCGAGGTTATAGTTCTATACAGTTCCACAATAGTATCTCTAACTCCATCTAGTATTGAGTAGGGCGTTTCATGTTATCTTTATTCTTTGAGTGGTTTTACTGGTTGACGCTACATGGCGCTAGTTTCTTTGTGTGTTCGTAACACTACTCCCCTCTTAGAGATGCTCGTCCCGAGCATCATTGTTACTGCCATGGTAACGCGCCAGACGGTCTATGTGTACCACTTTAAATGTCCCTCTTGGTTGCTTTTGAATCCTATAAGTCATATCACTTACCCGCGTAACCACTTTGTATGGACAGTCCCACTTGGTCTGCAACTTTGGAGATTTCCCTTTCCGGCGAGTTGGGTTATGTAACCACACCATTGACCCTTCCTCGAAGCCGCTTGTGTTAGATTTCCGGTCGTATCTGTTTTCGTTTGTTTCGTTTTCATGTTCTCACTTGACTGTAACCCATTTTCCCGAACCAAGAAGAGTGGTATATACTTGTCCCAATCCTTTTGTTTGTCATCTACCAATTTCGCCAAATGTCTCTCAAGGGACTGCTTAAATCTCTCAACCATTCCATTAGACTGTGGGTGGCAAGCGGTGGTCCTCGTCTTATGCATGCCCAAAATTCTGTACACTTCCTGGAATATTTGCGATTTGAAGTTGCTGCCCTGATCAGAATGGATTTCTAGAGGCACACCAAAGCGACATATCACTTCTTGGACTAACTTAGAAGCGACTGTTGTAGCTTCTTGGTTTCGTATGGCGAACACTTCGGGCCATTTGGTAAAGTAGTCCATGACGACCATAAAATACTTGTTTTCCGATTCCGTTACAGGAAATGGCCCAGCTACGTCAACTGCAATTCGTTCCCACGGTGCACCGACGTTATACAATCGCAGGTTCCCACGGCTCCTGGTCTGTGGTTCTTTTACGACGTAGTACATTTGCGGCACCAATCCACTCTCTCTCGCACTTTTGTTAACGTCCTCTAGACACCTAGATGACTTCCCGATACGCCATCATGTATTTCACGGAGAACATCTGGTACTCTCGTTCTTGGGACAATTATCTGAAGATGGAACTCTCTGTCTTTAGTCTTCTCCCATTTTCGGTAGAGTATTCCGTTTTGAAGATTCAGACAGTCCCATTGCGGCAAGTACACCTTAGTGACAGCGCCAGTGGGTGCAACCTCACTCCAGATTGGTTTTACGTCACCCCGTTTCCTCCATATGATGATGTGCCCAAGGTCGTCATCTCTTACTTGAGCTTCCCTCATAGCATCATTCTCTCGGAGACCCAAAGGACTTGTTCTTGTCTACTTTAATATTACTTCATTAGATTCCTGCTTAACACAATGTTTGCAGTCTTCCAAAAACGGCCTTCGTGAGAGTGCGTCGGCATTCCCATGCGTCTTTCCGCTGCGGTGTTCCGTCTTGAAGTCATACTCCTGGAGCTGTTCAATCCATCGAGCTACTTGACCTTCTGGGTTCTTGAATTGCAGTAGCCACTTCAAGGCTGCGTGATCAATTCGGAGTAAAAACTGTCTGCCGATGAGATATTTGTTGAAATGTTGTAGCGTCTTTACGATAGCCAAGAGTCTCTTATTGTCACACAGTAGTTTCTCTCTGGCTTGGATAAAGATTTGCTGAAATATGCAATAACAACTTCTTTTTCACCCTGTTTTTGAGATAACACCCCTCCAATGGCCGTGTTGCTTGCATCCGTGTCGACTATAAACCGACCTTCAGTTTGTGGATACCCCAGGATTGGTGCTTCACACAGATGTTTCTTCAGTTTCTGAAAAGAATCTTCACAAGTCCCCTCCCAACTGAATGGTCGTTTATCTTCTGTCAGCCGATGTAATGGCTTGGCTATCTCTGGAAATCCCTTAACGAAACGCCTGTAGTATGAGCATAGACCTAGGAATGCCCGCACTTCGGTTGTCCTTAGGGATAGGCCATTTTTGAACTGCTTCCAGTTTTCCGGGTCTGTCTGGATTCCATCACTGGAGATAACATGCCCGAGATAGTTGACCTTACTCCTGAATAAACGACACTTTTTCGGGTTCAACTTTAATTTGGCTCCCTCTACTTTGGCGAAAACTCGCTCCAAGTTTCGTAAATGATCCTCGAAGTGATGGCCGACAATGATGATGTCATCTAAGTAGACTACGCAAGCCTCTCCAACTAAGTCTGCAAGTACACACTCCATAAGTCGCTCAAATGTGGCAGGTGCGTTGCACAATCCGAAGGGCATGACGTTGAATTGCCACAAACCTTTACCGGTCGAGAAAGCTGTCTTCTCATTGTCTTTTGGATGAATTTCCACCTGCCAGTATCCAGATTTAAGGTCGATTAGAGTCGAGAACTATTTCATGCAAATCAAGGTATTCAAAGTGTCGTTGATTCGAGGTAACGGGTACTGTCCTTCTTAGTGACATCATTGACACGCCTATAGTCCACACAAAGTCTCGTGCTACCATCTTTCTTCTTCACTAACACAACAGGTGAGCACCACGGACTTGTAGACGGTTCAATAATCTTATTCCATCTCATGTCCTCCAAAAGGCCTTCAAATTAATATCTATCCTGTGCTGAACCATTGAAGTTCTTCCAAGGTCCCCTTCTTGACTGGAGAAGATAATCGCGTAGCGCTGTAAAGACTAAAGCTAAGAGGTCGAAGAAAAAGCTAGGAGGTCTTTATAAGTCAGACTACTCTTGCAGTCATCGAGTAGCTCAGTCACTAATCCGTAGTTGTTGCTGTTTGGAGAGTCTGCGCCTGTCACCGAACTACACTTTTTCATCCAGACAACTTCCTCGCACTATCCAATGACGTCACCTTTGTTCAAGCGGACCTCGCGATCACCAAGATTCGAAACCTTAACTACACCTTTAATACAAACTTGTTTTACTGCTTCCACTAACAAGGGTCCTCGCCGTCATCAGTTTTTGTGCCGATGAATTGGTAGGTGTGTCTTCGATCAACACACATCTGTTTGACATTTTCTTTCCAGTTGGCGGCAGTTTCATCAGCACTTGAGCTTCCGCTCGTCTAGGTATAATGACTTTCTTTTACACATGCGACTTTCCCACCGATGCCTTCAAGAATGAAGATTTCTTCTTCACCACACTTGAAAACTCCGTCAGCCACATTAATTCTGCAGTTGTATTTCTTCATGAAATCCAAACCCCAGATGCAATCATCCATAATCGCAGCCACGATAACGTTATGAGAGTATAAGGACCCTCCTACATGCATCGTAACTGACGTTTCTCCCAGGACGGGTATTGGCTGACCGGAGGCAGTAAGAAGCCGGCAGTTAATAGTTTTTAATAATAATTAGTTTTCCTCCTCTTGTGTCCCCTTGCGGCTTTTAACAGATTTCAATTTAATATTGTTCTAGATAGTTCCATAGTAGTTCCTCTAACGCCATCTAGTATTGAGTAGAGCGTTTCATGTTATCTTTGTTCTTAGAGTTTTCTTAGAGTGGTTTTACTGGTTGACGCCAGATGACACTAGTTTCTTTGTGTATGTTGGTAACAATATATATCTCCATACATACGTTTAAAGATACATAAATGTATAATTTAATAAAATAAGAGACTCGACAACAGTGTACTAGATAGTATCGAGTCGATTAGTCAAAACTAGAGCCTTGAGCACGACAATGGGATAGATCTTATAAGGCAGTATACAAATCTAAAGTTGATACTATAACAAAAATATCCTTTAAGAGAAGTTCCAACACACGTTCTACACTCCTTCTCTATATTAAAAATAAGTTTGGGAAATTTCATACTCGTCTATATAAACCATAAAAATATCCCGAAAGAAAAATATTTTAAGTATACTTCTTCGGACTTCACATGTCCGCAAATACGCAGTGGGGCCGCGTGGCGAATACCCTGATACCCTATGTATGGTGAAGGCAGCAGGGGGAAATGTATAGGCCTAAATTTTCCTTTATTTAATAAATTTTTTGTTTGTATAATACCTATTTTTATTTTATTATTGTAATGCGCAGATGTGTTTTTGATTACAAATAAAGATTATTATTATTAATTAATTAATTATCAATGCTGTTGATGCTTATTAATGTTGATGAAGTATTTTATTTTTCATAGGTAACTTATCGCCTAAAATGTCAAAATTATTTTTTTACAAACTATCTTACTTAGCTTACCTAAGTATACGTTTTCCAGCCGTCTTGAATTTCCGTATACGTGACTCATCTCCGGATTCTAAATCTGTTGCGTCCTTGATTTTCAATGAGCGTTCGATGCTGATGATGTTACGCTCCATGTCTTGTAGTATCTGCTCATCATCGACATCGGAGTTTGCGGCGGAGCTTTGAGAGGAGGCTAGGCCAGGAGTGTAGTCAGAAGTGTAGCCACATGTTTGGCCAGAGGCGAGACCGGATTTTTGGCCAGACATGTGGCTCGAAAACTGGCAAGATGCTTGGCCAGAAAAATGGCCAGAAGCGTGGCCAGTTGGGTATCCAGAAACTGGGCGCAAATTGTGAGTGGACGGGCGGCCAGAAGAATGGCCAAAAGATGGGCGTGACCTGTGGACGGTAGGTCGGTCAGTAGAATGACCAGAAGCGGAGCGCGAACCGTAAATGGCAGGGTAGCCAGAAGCATGGCGAGTAGCTCGGTCAGATGAGAGGTTGGAAGTGTGGCCAGATGCTGCGCTATATGCCCGGGGTAAGCTGTGCGCCGATGTAATGCGAGGATCGTAAGCGGCTTTGCCAGTCCCGAGGCCAGATGCGTGTTTCGAACGGTGACCAGAAACAGCCCTCGTCCTAGGTACGGTACCAGTTGGGGCTTTTGGCTTGGTTTCAGAACTGCTCCTAGGCGCAGGACCAGAACTTTGGCGCGGCGTGAGGTTCAAAAATGAATCGGATCGGTAGGTAGGCGGCTCGCTAGAACTGCGGGCAGAGCTGAAGCCAGAGCTTCGTACAGGGGCATGGAAAACGAAATTTGAATCCTTACGGCACAGCCTTGTTATTCCTGCCATATCAATTTGTGCCTTTATCGTTGCAGGGCTTCTTGGGCGGAAAGTCACCTCTTCGTGAGTTGGCTCCAGGATAGGAATCGGAAGCCGGTATTTTATATCCATATCCATGAACACCTGTAAGCAAAAAAATTGGTCAACAACACGCATGACATTATAATCCGCTCCTATCCTAATTTTATGTAACGAAAACTTAAAATTTTCTATCATAGATAAATTGTTGAAACATTTTTGTGCGTGACAAAACGTGAAGCTACGTCTTTTGGGTATTGCGCGCCCAATTTACTTGCTATAGTCTCGAGTACATTTTTATTTCATGTTAAGCGCAGATTAGAGTTAAATGTAAAAAGTAAACTTGTAAAGAAGACTATTTATACCTTATGGTTTTCAAGCATTTAAAATACTTGCTCCTTATTTATCAACGAACAAATATCTATATTCCAGGAAAAATGTATTTGCTCGTTCAAATTCGATTGTTAGTGACGCAAGCATTGTACCCCTTGACGACTCTAATAATTTGCATTTAGTACAGGTAATAAACAGAATGACCTGGAATGGATCTCAAACACAATCGTAGTATTGGGACTTTTGCAAGTGAGCAACAATATTGAATAAACGCCCATTGTTTTTTTGAGACACACGAAAAAATTGTGCTTACCTAATATAGAAAGGAATATTTGTTGCTCATTTACGCCTCCATTGATTTATAGAAATGAAATAAAATCAATCCTTCACCAACATTTGCTCATTTTTTATTTAAACTTTATTGCAACCTTTAAATAAAATGGCGATGAACTTAGGCAGCAACGGATTACAAAGGGCGATGAACTTAGGCATTAAGATTGGCATTCTCTCCCAGATAACCCGGGGCTTGGTGAGAAAAGGAGCATTTATTACATTAAATGATTATATGTATTACTCATAAAACCGCGTCACTCGGTGCAATGCCATGCTTACCAGATTCAACGACGGGAAGTCAAATTTGGTGCTAGACATAGTAACAGGCGACGAAATATGGATTTATTCATATGATTCCAAAAGAAAGCAGTAATCGAGCGTATGATTCACACGGCCGGACAGACAAACGAATTTTTGAAGTTAAAAAACGTAGAATATATGCATACAGTCCTAACCTGGCATCTTGTGACTTTTTCTGTTCCCAAAACTAAGAACCAATTTCGCGGTCAAAGATTTTCATCACCAGAAGGGGCTGTCGAAGATTATAAAAATAAGTTTATATAGATTCCACAGAAGAATGGCACAAATATTTTCAAAATTTATTTAATCGTAAGAAAAAGTTAATTTACGCAAAAGGAGAATATTAAATATTATGAAACATTCGCGAGAAAGCGTTGAGGTTTTCGTCGCTGTGGCTATCAGCCGTTTAGATCAGTGGCTAGAGCGTCAGGCCGCAAATGCCGAAGACGTGGGTTCGATTCCCACAGCGGCGGCAATCTTTTCGTACTTTTTCTACATGTTTTAATGTTCAATCTTAAGTGTAGAGATTAGCACTATAAAAAACTTTAAAATTTATAAAAAGCAATGGCGACATCTCTCGTTCGAATTATCGTTGTAAAACGATATTCGAAATTGTTTGTATGCTGGAAAGGATATAACAATAGATGCGCCAAGCAATTACTTCAAATGCTAAAATAACAATGTAGAAAGAAAGCGTTGAGATTTTCGTCGCTGTGGCTATTAGCCGTTTAGCTCAGTGGCTAGAGCGTCAGACCGCGAATGCCGAAGCCGTGGGTTCGATTCCCAGAGCGGCGACAATCTTTTCGTACTTTTTCTACATGTTTTAATGTTCAATCTTAATTGTAGAGATTAGCACTATAAAAAACTTTAAAATTTTGAAACAATTTCTTCATTTTTGATTTCTAATAGTATTTAATTCTTATTCATTCCGGAAACTTTTAGTGCGCCCGACGTACTTCTTTGGGCGCGTTTGGAACAAAATAATGTGAGTAAAGTTTTTACCATTATATTTGCATAATATTAAAATAAAGACAAGCCATGAAATTCAAAGATTTGTAGTCATTTTGTAACAAACACGTTTTTGTGATTAGCCCACAAACAAACGCTTAACCCTATAAGATTTATCAAATAATTATGTAATGTGAAGACTATTTCAGGTGTTAAGGTAAATTTTACTAATTATATAAGACTGATCACTTCACTGTCCATACATTAGAATCTATTGAAGCCGAGCGAAGATGGAGCGGGTCGCTAGTTTACCTATAATTCCAAGTTACTAAATTAAACTATACAAAAAAGCTGTAGAAATAAAGTTCTATGTTATATACCCAATATAACGCTCCATAGTTAAAGATTGCACATAAATACATTTCTTTCTTTTTTTCAGTAAATTGCGGGTTAAATAAAAATTAGCTAAAGCCTTTTTTAAAGAATCTTATACATTTCACGAATAAGATCTGCCTAAATAAATTCCAAACCACACCAAAATGACCGGTATAAATTCTTGTTGAAGTTTATTTTCATTGAGTGTTACTTTTTTAATTTTTTGAAGCCAATAAGAAAAAAGTGTTGCATGAATTTTTCCTGTTTTTTCTGTATTCATAATACGCATCTTAGTTACAAAATGATACGAAATATGGTACGATACAATATGGTAATGATACAAAGAACATAAGTACATTTATAATATTGTAAACTAGCTGTTCCCCGCGACTACTTCCGCGTGGAATAGGGTGAAAGCGAAAAACTCAGAGAGAAACAGACAGTTATCTATACATATAATAAAAATGTAACATGTCTTTGTCTGTACATGGAAGATATTTGAGAAAAACTATTATTAAAGGTCCCAAAGGTTAACAATGATTGATAAAATTGTTGTCTGTGTCTATGTGCGTTTGTGCGCGCTTATCTCGGATATGGCTTAACCGATTTGGGTGCAACTTTCACTAATGCATAGTAGTACCTCAATTAACATTAGTGTTAGTTTTATTCAAGTCAGTTCATAAATAAAAAAGTTATATTAACTTAAAAAAAGTAATAGCTACAACTGAATTGGATGAAACTATAATTAATTATATTGTGGTTTGTAAAATCATGATGATTGTTAAATTATATAAATTTAAAAACCAGCCAAGTGCGAGTCGCAATCGTGCTCGAATGGTGGAACCATTCGAGCACGATACCAAAATCATGTCGGTTGTATGAGAGATCCGCTTAAAAATATTTTTCAGATATTTTTTATTTGATGTTATAGCGGCAACAGAAATACATCATCTGTGAAAATTTCACCTGTCTAACTATCATGGTTCATGAGATACTGCTTGGTGATAGACGAACAGACAGCTAGTCTCTTTCTATGTCTTTTTGTTTGAACTCCCTAATCTTAGCGACTTCAGGTCCGATTAGAAACATTCTTGCTAGATAGTTCATTTATTGACAACTGCACCATGGTCAGAGATCAAGCGAGTGGTATTTGCAAATAAACACAATTTTGTCTGAGCCACACTCAGTGACGAGTTACGTTTATATACAGGCGAAAATGGAATCCGCCATTGCACAATTTTACACCGACATTGTGCCAGATTTTATATGCAGAAAGGCCACTTGCAATAAGCAAACTTAAAAACTCAACCGGATAATTTGAGCCTTGGTCATTACTTGCAGTGAGCATAATCCGTTAAAATAACCAAGAATTATCCTGATATCATCATAAATATTCTTGCTTACTTGAACACTTAAATACTATACTTATCAGTGGGTTTTCGGGGAAAACAACTGTACCTAGTATGGCCGGAACACACCTGCCGATTTTTCTCTGAAAGGATACCCATTCTGCCTTCTCAAATTTTAACCGAACGTGGGAAAATTCTTGGGCATGTAAACGGCGTTCGCATGTTAACTGGCAACCGCAACTTATGTTTTTGAGACCAGAGTTAAGAACGCTTCTGTGAGGCATTTATTTCTTCGCTTTAGTCCTTTGAGCAATGAGAGGAACGGTTTCGAACATTTCCAGAAAAAACAACTGTGACGTTCCCCATTGGCCTTTCATCTCGTTGTATGTACTGTAGTGTTTTGTCGACGGCGTCTACGGGTGCTCAGTTAAAATTCACTTTCAGTTTTACATTACTTTAATGTCTATAACCTATAACTGAATCCAATGTGCGAGATAATGAATGGCGTCTATGGCGAAATGGGTCGATCAGCACTAAGTCCTGTTTGGTTTTCATTACATTGTTGAAATTCAATCGTTCTCATTCTTTTTAATTCCTTCGAGGCATTTTTGTAATAAATACAGTACTATAAGGTCGATACCGAATGTAATATTTTTTTACGTAAATTCCATTATTTAGAAAGTACTACAAAATAAGTATCTTAATTATAAAAAAGTATCAGATACGATGTGAGTGACAGTGGCAAAAAAAAAAAATTCCAAATCAAAAACAAAGCAAAATTGTAATATCCGAATATCCTAGCCTAACCAAATGTATATTCCTAAACCGTTACAGATTTGTCCGTTGGTCGCCCTAAGATCATTAAAGATTAAGAGAAATGATTCGTACCTATCGTATAAATCTCAATCGAAAAAATTCGCATTATTATCAAAATGCGAAAAGTCGGCGCTTGTCTCTTAATTAACTTATGAAAATATGTATATATCGGGAATTCATTTCTTATCTTCTTATCGCAACTTATCTATGCTGGATTGTAATTCTATCAATTGAAGAATTTGATAAATCAACCTTTTTTTTATTATGAAACTAAAAATTCAAGTTATCGTGGTCAAAATTTTATCACTGATAGCACTTTTTGTATGGAAAGTAACTTTTTGCATTGGTAACTATGTCTGTTCCAATTGATCCAGTAGCTAATAACGTATATATTCACACGCTGTCAAAAACCCCATAAAAATCGAACCTATGGTTTGTGAGTTTTTCATAACACTCGTCTAACGTTACTTGCCAATAATATAAAATCCATAATTAAAAAATATGTTCTTCAAACAAAATAATTAAATAAAAAAAGCAACAAAATTTGCAGCAACATCCTATATTAGTTGTAGTTTACAACTGACTGATTCATATATTCAGAGACTGTTTCATTCGTTGCCACAAAGTCGCATTACAAGTCTCTCCTTCTATCAGTATGTTTTATTTCTTTTAAATTCATTCATTCCATTCATATGCTTTGTGACCTTTACAAAAGAACTTTACGTTACAGTTTTATACGTAAGGGTATTCTAAAAATGTTTGTTTTGTAAAATTGTATAACTCGGTAAATATTGATGATTAAAGAATCTAAATACTTAATACAATTTTAAAAAGTTATCCTCTATATGTGTGTTCATTTATTGTCGCGATGGTAAAGATGGCTGTATATATTTGTATATGTATTGTATATATATTGTATATATTTGTATGTATTATAATTGATATTTAGTATGTGCGTAGATTCGGGGGCGATAAATCGATCTAGCTATGTTTCACTTATTGTCGCGGTTGTAACGACACGTTTTGATGTTGCACAGAAAAAATCGTGATAGCTTTCAAAAACACTATACAAATTAGGCTACACGAAACAAAGCCTATATGTTGCCCCTAGTTTTTCTTAAGTAACCAGTGAAAACTGCATCAAAATCCTATAAGTAGTTTTCAAGTTTATCGCGAACAGACAGACAGACAGAAAATAATTCCAAAAATGGTTTTTATGTATTCTATAACTCTTTTTTTGATACCTATATATATATATTTCATAAATATATCCAATGTACAGACACGCCGATGCAATTCTATTATTATACTAAAGATTAATAATACAAGCTGTAATTAAATACAAGTTCAATTGTTAATTAAACGGCAATTTTACAAAAATCTTGAACACGTTAAATGGCGTCAAAATTCATTCGGCCCTTTATGTGTCGTACACGGGCACTGCTTCATTCGAATTTCGTTAATAATTAATGGCGTGAAGCCAACCATCCTGCACATAATCCCGCTTCTAAATTATGGCTGTAAGCAAGTAATAATAAATGAAACCAATAGTATGGAACGCTAGATTGCGCGGCTGAGTACTCAAATTTTTTACCTATTGAATCTTTCGGTTCATATTATTTTGATTATTATTTAAACAATTGGAATCACAGTTTTCTTCAAATGTTTACGAAAATAGCGGGATTATCAATTTAAATATGGCTTGTTAAGGTAAACGGGAAGTAAAGTTGTTACAGAATCCAAACGGCCGTCATTTCACTTCCATGACTATTTTGACTCAACATTTTTTATTTTATTATTGTAATGTGCAGATGTGTTTTTAATTACAAATAAAGATTATTATTATTATTTTAATGAAGTTTAATTTAACCATGTGTAGTCACTATATATTATGAATAGATATACGATTAGATATGCTGTGTAATTTGGAAACGCAAATCTGTTCGAGATATGAATGGTCAGTAGGCTAAAAACGTTTTATAATTAAAATTTAATGCGGTTTGTAACTTCTGAAGAGCGTTGTGCAGTAGCTTTTTCATCAGGGTTTGTTTTATATTTTAGTATAATAAGTATAGAAACGAATAGTGGTAGCATTTATTTTGAAATCGCTAATGCTATGTGTTGAAAATGTATACAGTAATAGTAATATATCTCTGATCTCTGATAAAAGGTTTAAAACAAAAAAGCGAAAAACGTATTTGACAAAAAATTATGTTTTCAATTCAAAAGTCAATTCAATGTCCAATGGTCAAAATTACAAACAGCCTGGAGCGATCAAGTTGCAAAGTGTGTTTGTTATCGTTTAAATACTTACTAATATTAAAATAAACTTTAACAATGAATCGCAATTTTTTTTTGGTATCGGGGGAAACCTTCAAAATATACCCTGCCACCTTACATGACAGGGTTATTGTGGGGTTCTTGTGAAAAAAATTTTTTTTGCGTTTTCATTAAAAATGCAAATGCGGGCGGATTACTTAAGTTTTTTGTTTATTGTAAATGATTAAGCGATTTCAGTACGTAGACTATTAAGCTTTATCTATCGCAGAACCCTTTGGTTAGCCAGAACCCACGGATAAAACGGAAAAAACGACCCTCCGCAGTGGTTAGGGCCAAACATGTGTTCATGCATGCGTTAACCAAATAGGTATCGCCTACGAGCCATCTAGGTTCGTTACGGACCATCGCCCCTTTTTTTAACGTAGGAAAAATCTTTTATGGTTCCCCCTGCCACCAGATCAGGGGAGGAAAGGGGTATTTGAGAGTCCTAGTCAGTATCAGGTAACCACTAAAAAACCCATGTTCCACCTGTCACTATCACATCAGCCGGGGACACGGTAACACGAAGACGCAATCTTCCCCGACCCCGGCACTACTATGGCCTTTTAGGCATCCTTTTTTCGAGTGCTAGTCTCGCTATCAGGGAAGCTTGCGAGCGTACGTCAGCTTCCTGTGCCCTGTTCTTCGGCGGCGGATATCCAGGGTAGCAGTTAGCAGTTGCCTCCCTTTGTCTCTCCGCAGCCTCCTTCCAGGTGATTCTCTCGCTGTCAAACATAGCGCGAACCACGGCAGGCAACGAGAGATCGTGCACCACGATAGGACACAGTTCTCGGTACTGCTCCGTCTAGGCTGGGCACTCCTACAGTACGTGTTGGGCCGTATCCTCGGCACATACATCACAGTAGTGGCATTCCGCTGTTCGCCACTCGAAGCAGGTACCTCCCGAAACAGCCACATCCTGAGAGGATCTGCGTCGCACGGTAAGTGAGGGTGTCGTGTCGCCTGTCTAGCCACCTCCTGTGCACAAGACGTATGGCCTCTACGGTTCTTATGGACCGTGGCCCTGATGGCCATTGACTGTACTCTGTTAACACCGCTTAACTTAACTAGGGTGAGAACTCCTAGAACGCGGGTGTACTTGGTGTACGCAACTACTTAAGTCCTTTATTCTATTTGTAATCCGGTCTGTAAGGTTCAAACGATAGATACGCGCGTACGAGGCGTTACAAGGAAGAATTCGAAAGTTAAATAGAATAAAAAGACTGTAAAAGCTTGGCGAGTTATGGAGCATGCAAATTACTAACATTCCCACATGGCCTGTGATAGTGTTCAAAGAACTAGTTTGTAATTTTAATAACATTAAATTTAGTAGCAGGTATAATATGTGGTAACTATGGTAGGACCACGTAACAGTGTTCAATGTTGCACTAATGGGCAGGTCCATCCGGGTAAGTACCGCGACTTCACAGAAGACCGGCGTAAAGTAGAAGTTTTACACTTCTCCACTTTATATAAAGGTGGCGACCCATTTACAGACCTACGGGTGTTGCAAATGTCCACGGGTGGCGGTGGCGGTTATCACATCAGGTGAACCGCCAGCTCGTTTGCTATTTTCTCACATAAAAAAATATATATATATACTAGCTACTGCCTGCGAAAATGTGTGGGCTTCAATTGGAATGGGAAGTTGTTGGCTATTAGTGGTATTCGCAGAATATTCCCAACTTTATTTTCGCCGTTCCACGAATAGGCAAGTACATATTATCCGATAAAATATTTGCTTATTGTTCTTGTGGGAAGGATCAATTTATGTTTGTTCCTAGTATATCATGAACATTCTCCCTCATCTGCAAGATTCACCAGACATTGCATCTACCGACCATTGCTTGACTATTTGTGGTCCCAATCTAGAAAAAACATTGGTTTTCTCATGGTCAATTGTATGTTGCATGCCACTAAACAAATATGTCGTGCAATACAAGGCCCTTGAATGAAGAGAATTATTCCGAGTGCATACTATATTGCACAATATATAATTTAATTCAATCATGATTTGTCAACACGCCAATGACGTACGTGATTTTGAATATCTTTTGAAATTTTATTATTTTTAACCGACTTTAAAAACGAAGGAGATTTGTCAATTCGATGGTATATATTTTTTGCTTTTTTTATGTGTGTCGCGGATAAATTAGTCGCTTATGAATCGATTTTGATAATTCTTTTTTTGTTGGAAAGGAGATAGGAGATAGGAGTCCAAGGGTAGTACCATGGTAAGGATCTGATGTTGGAATACCAAAGAAAATGAGGCCAATCCTCAAAAATTATAGATATTAACAATATTTTTTATTCTCCAGTTTAAAGTCGGTTTTATTGTTAATATTATTATTCTGTATCATCATAATAAATTGGTAAAGTTGATATTATATTTTTATTCATTGTATTACGTTCATAAAAGCTTGAACTAAGTTCAGCTAAAACTGAACACGACATTAATTGTTTGTTAATTTTTGGGCAATTGAGATAATTGGAAAAAGTTATATAAGTGATTTGTGTCCATTTACAAAACAATATACGCATTTATAAGCATAAATACGGCAGTTATATCAGAAAGTTCAAATAGAACCAAATCGTTTGGGAAGACCGTATGAAGTTGTTAGAAGTTTTTGTTTTGAAATACATAAGTATTAACCATCGTAACGTATTGATAACTCATATTATAACTTTATGAAAAAGATCTTAAGTTACATGTTGGTTGAAGAACAGCCGTCAAAAGCTGCCATGATATAAAACTTTTGAAATGGAATAAAAGTCAATAGAAAATAAAAACGTCAAGAATATCTCAATGCTAGTTTGAGTTAGAAAGACGAAATCGCTTGCAATCAGCTTCAAATGGAACAGAAAACACTTTTATTGAGACAATGACTCGTGTCATCGGCGATCGGGGGAACGACGGTCGGAACTATGGCGAAATTGCATGAATTGTACTATGAATTGCTTACGCAATAATCGTATTCTCCACATTGAGAGTCCACATGACTATTACCAGTTTAAATCGACACTGCTCACTACGTTAACATCTTTATCGATTATTTAACAAGAAGACTATTATTTCCGCGACGATCGTAACTATGGTAAAATTGTATCAATTGCTCTTAAAATCGCTTCCGCAGCTTTCGTACTATCTATCTACAGTACCCAGTCTACTAGTGTAAATTGGTCTACCTCTCGTATTTGTTTATATCAACAACATTACTTTATATGTTTTTATATCAAAAATAATGTTTGCCGGAATAAAAAATGTTTCGTAAAGGAATGTGATGTTTTAGTCGTCCTGCGGACATAATTACGAATTACTAACAAATAATAAAAGGATAAAACTTTTCACCAAAAGATAACTAGTTAAAGAGCCTGTCAAATCTAAAAGTAAAATGAGTTGTATTGAGTCAGTAGGATTAGGCCGGTTTTAGCGGAATGGCTTCTGTCTCACAATTGCTATTGCGGGTTTTACATAGACGGGAAGATATCTAATAGCTTCTGATTAAACTCTCGGACTCATTGTAATCCATCTGAGACTCCGCTATTACCGCAATATTGAATTTTATTCCAGAGGGGTGGGGGCTACCAGCTATCTGTCCAATAGTTGGCTGGAACCACTACGGGTATGCGACCCCGGAATACTCTAGCTACTACTGGTACTTTCCACCTGCATCCCTTGACAGTAATACCCCCCCCCCCCCTCTTCCCTTCCCACGATCACTCCCACCACCTTAACTCTTTAGGGACACCATTATCTGGTTCCCAAAAAGAAGGAAAACTAGTAGTAAGCCTGGAACGGTGCCTCCATGTGCCAGGCGCCTGCAGCCGGCGTGCCGGCTAGGCACTGTGAGTCCTGTCGGGGATGTGGAGAGAGTGGCACGGGTTCTGAGCAAGCCCGCTGCCATAAAGTCGTCTGTCCCAGGCGTTGTAGCATTCGCGGAGAGGTCACGTCGCCCACCTGCTTTAGTAGGAGGATTCTTTGTAGGTCCACTGATCGATTACCGCCGGCTATAAGTTGGGCAGCCCTGGAGCAATAAAGTAATGATCTGCCTTAGCACCAATTTATTCTGCCTGGGTGAACAGAACACAAGTCGTACAGCTGGACGTTGGTGCTGTATAAACCAGATGTTCATCAAAAAAACTCAACAAAACCCAAACCTATCATAAACGCAACTTACTTCCGCTTCACGTCATGGAATGTCTTAATTATGGGGACAGGCTTTCCGAATACCTGTGGGAATTTCGATTGCATCCAATATCTACGCAAAACCTATAACATCGTCATTTAACTCAAAGGGCTCAAAGTCGATATCGCGGCCTTACAAGAGACAGGAATCGAAGACGAAAGGTAGAAGGGCAAGATTTCGTCAGAAAACCGTGGGCATGGTGTAGGATTTGCGATCCATAATCACCTACTAAACGCTATAGAAACACCTATTGGTGGGTCTGAGCGTGTTATGATCTTGTGTCTTATAAGGAAGTGCGGCTTTGTCACGCTTATTTCTGCTAACGCTCCGACTTTCAATTACACATCTGAGAACAAAGATCAATTCTACGACCGGCTGGAGGAAAAAGTTCGTGGGGGCATTTTTAACACTCGTGTTGGCCAAGATACGGCCGCCAGGCCTGAATGCCTTCGTGCACACGGTGTAGATTAGCAAAACGAGAATGGTCAGCGATTGCTCCAGGCAAACACATGGAACCAACACCTTCTTTAAAAGAAAATTGATTCGGAAAGTCTCCTGGAGGCACCCCTGATTGAAATACTGGTATCAAAATGAGGGACCTATGGGAAACTCTTCATACGCGGGCTTCTCATAGCGCTGACTGCGATATCTTCACAGCCTCGTGTCCATCAAAATGGGGGGAGAATCCACTTACTCAGGCTCAGGGTTCGCAAAAGGATTAAACCCTTTCACGCTCGGGACTTGGATGCATTGCGGTGCTGAGTGGGAAAGACTAAAAACTCTTTTCACTGTAACTGCAGGAGCGGCTTTCGGAAATCAGAACGCTAAAGCTCGCGACTGGTTCCGTGAAAAGAAAAACACTTGATTTCACTCATGGACTCGAAGCACCGTGTTGCTCAAAACTTCCGCCTTAATTCGTGTGATGCAACACGTGAGGAGCTCAAAAGGGTAAAGTCGTCACTACAGCGTAGTCTGATTTTATACAAACGCATACTGAACTGAACTTTGCCTTTGCATCGAATCGTGCGGTAACGCAGGGGATATTGGTAGAGTTTAAGCAGGTATAAAAAGGGCTATTGGACTTAATTCGACCACGGTACCTCTAAAGGAAATTAACGGCTCTTTCATCACAGATAACGGCCGACCAATGACTAGATGGGTGGAACACTACACCGGCCTTTACTCTCACCCCGTGGACATAAAGCGGAAGCAGTGGAACTTGTCCCGTGGCTGGTAACTTGGTGCCAGTTAGACGTGAGACCCACCGTAGAGGAGCGTCAGTGCTCAACTGTTGACATGACATTTTCTCTTCGTCAATTACAAGAAAAGTGTAGAGAACAGTAGACTCCACTAGTCGTTGCGTTCGTGGAATTGGACAAGGCATTCGATATTGTGAGCAGAGAGGGGCTGTACTCAATTCTTAATAGAATTGATTGTGCACCAAATTTGTGAAGATAGTATAGTCATCCCACGAAAATATGGGGGACACGGTTTTGCACAATGGAGGCTCGCCAGAGCTGTTTCACGTTTGTAGAGGCATTCGCCAAGGCGGTGTTTAGGCATCAACCCTGTTTGGCAAATTCTTTTCTGCACTTCTTAAAATTGCTATCGGTACTGAAGAACAGGGCGTCCACCTATACACATTATCCGATGGTAGGCTGTACAATATCTCCCTCCTCATGTCCAAACGTCACAGAGAGAACCTCTTTGTTGAGAGCCTCTTCTCTCTTCTCTTTTGCAGATGATGCTGCGTCGCCCATGATCAAGCTGAGCTTCAGAAATTAGTGGACAACTTTGCCAGAGCATGTAACCTATTCTCCGTGTCTGTCATCGCTAAGACGACCGTCATTTTAGCGCAAGGAAACTCAGAGCCTCCAGTGATTCTGCTACACGGCGCTCCACTGGAGATGATCAGCTATATCGCGGCCTATTTTCTGCTATCTGGGTTCACAAGTGCCGAGCAATCTCTCGCTCGTACATGCGCACACTTTGGCCCATTAACGATCTTTTTACTTTTTGTAGATGTGTTTCGTCTATGCGTATGTAATTTGCCCTTATTTCTAGTATTTAATTTATGTCAAGCAATAGAAATATTGTACCAAAACCTAAGTGGGCTAAGAACGAAATTACAAGATTTCAGAATAAGTCTTGCGGCTTCAAGCGCAGATTTATTTGCTATTACTGAAACAGGTTGCAGTGAATCCATACAAGATGGAGAAATTATACCCACGGGATATCATATCGTACGTTGCGATCGAGCGGACGGGCGAAAGCAGGGCGGTGTTTGTTTAGTGGCCACACACCGTTTCGGACTACGTAGTGTACCTGCACCCGGCGACGTCAACATAGCTGTGCGTTCGAACTTATTTGCGTAAACGTCTATCGAAGTGAAAGATTATTATTTCTGTGTTGTGTTGTTTACATTCCACCGTGCAGTACTGAAAGTGACTATATGACTTTATTTAAAATTATCGAAGAACTATGTTCAGAGTATAATTCAGTTTTGATTATAGGAGATTTTAATATGTATTCTTGCCCAATGCATGTACAAAAAGAACATGCAACATATCCAACACAATGGAAAGACTACAAGGGTTATCCCAGTCCCTAAGAGTAGTGTAGGATCGCAGGTCAGTGATTATAGGCCGGTGGCCGTGCTGTCGTCGCCAGCAAAAGTTTTTGAATCAGCGATATATCGCACAGTATTTGCGGCAACTCGTAGCTCACTGACGAACGCGCAGCACGGGTTCCGGCCGGCGTGCAGCACTGCTACTAACTTGCTTAATTTTGTTAACTACGTTAGACCAGCAATAGATTCAGGCATGCAAGTAGACGTCGCATACTTCGACTTTAGAAAGGCGTTTGATACGGTTGACAATGATATCCTATTAAGAAAACTGGCACGGGTAGGATTCACTCCTCAGTTACTTAGGTTCTTTGCGAGTTATATGAGGGATAGGCAACAATATGTGGATTTCAACGGTCATGAATCAGAGCCTTATTTTACACATTCAGGCATAAGTCAGGGCAGTAAGGCCCATTAGAATTTCTTTTAATGATAAATGATTTACCGGAAGTAATTGAAAACGGTACATGTTTGTTGTTTGCGGACGATCTCAAACTATCACTTGCAGTAAATGATCACACGGACTGTGAAAGATTACAGAGCGATATAAATAAAGTTGTTGAGTGGAGCCAAGAAAATAGATTGTACTTTAATGTGTCAAAGTGCTCAATCCTGACTTTTAGTAAGGCTAGGAATACGGTTCAATATCAATACAATTTTAGTATGAATAAAACGTCATTTAGTTATTTCGAAAGTACGAAGGTTTATTGAAGTATAATTTTAAACTAAAATACTAAACAAAAAAAAGAGACGATTCCAGATTAACGTTAAACTAATTAGGGATCGGCGGCGTCCCGACAGAATGCGCACGCGCGTGCTACTCGTGTAATGGCTCGCGGCTAACTGGTGGTGCGGGGGAATTCCGACGGGCACGCAGTCGGGTGGATTGTCGGGACGTCCCCGGAGCCCGTCCAATCCGAGAGGTGGCGTGATTTGACCGCGGTGCTATACAATATGAATAAAGAGCCCATCTTGCGAGTCACGGAAAAGAGAGACCTAGGGGTTACTTTTAATCGCGATTTTAGTTTTCGTAATCACATTACGGCGATATGCAAGAAAGCATTTAGAAATTTAGGGTTCGTGCTGAGGCAGACGAAGGGGTTCACGAGTATCTTGACAATTAGATGCTTATACGACGCATTAGTGAGAAGCCAACTTGAATATAACGCAATAATTTGGGCACCGGATGACGTTAAACACAAGATAATGGTAGAAAGGGTTCAAAATAAATTTACGCGGTATCTATATAAAAGGTTATACGGTGTATATCCATTGTATCCTGTGTCATATCCTACACTATTTGTTCTAGGTATGGTAGGATACGACAAACTGGAAACTCGTAGGGACTTTGCACTCGTCGACTACGTATGGAAATTACTCCGTGGTGTGGTACATAATACAATGGCACTCAGCGCACTGAAACTGAACGCGCCCGACGGTTACGTTAGGAGGCGGCGGCGTCCGCGCTTGCTTGCCATTCCGCGCGCGCGCACTAACTTGCTGGCTAGGGCTCCATTCACACGTGCACTGCTCACTCTAAATGAGGTTGCCGACAGAATTGACCTGTTTTCATGCCACAGAAATGATTTTATAATAGTATCCCATTACGTGATATGTTACTCATAAAACTATAAGTATGATTTTTTTTCTTTGTGTATTACAGTCTTACTGTTTATAATTGGTTTAATGGAATTGTTAGTTTTTATTATTTTTTTTGTTTGTTTTTATTTTATTTTATATTTTTTGGCAACACTATCGCATTGGGTCAGCCTGTAATGATAGTTGTGTGCGTCAGTGTAATAAATAATTAAATAAATAAATAAATAAATGTCTGTCACTATTCATTAGATAACAATTAAGATTGTCTAACATACAAAATATTACAATAAATATATTGGGACGCAACAGTGAGTATATTAATCTCTTTAAAAGTATCTCTGAGTGTATTCCGGCTTCTGAGTGTAGCACGGCCAGCTTTTTTTTGAAGAATATATATAGAATTTATATCAGGTGCACTATCCCACAACAAGATGCTGTGAAAATAACTAAAGAAAACAAATCTGGCAGTATCGATGTCTGTTACCTGCCTAACCTTCCTAATCGCAAAAACAGCGGAGCTTAGCGTGCTCGCAAGAGATTATAGATGGGGACGCCACTGGAGCTTTGAATCTACTGTAACCCCCAAGAAAACAGCGGACTCAACAGTATTGAGGGATACAAAAACTTTGCCTTCTTATACTAGGAAGAGTAAAAAGCATACATTTAATTTTTTTGGCATTTAACATCATATTATTTACGGTGAACCAGTGGAGGATATACGAAAGTGGCCAATTTACGTCGTCATAATTTGATAAATTTCGGTCAACCTTAAAGATGAGCGATGTATCGTCAGCAAACAGTACAACATCACAAAACTCACTGGCATAAGAGGGAGATCAT